CGCGCTGAAATTTCGGCACGTGATTGGTCAGTGTAACGTCACAAAACTCGAGGTCTTTTCGTGTGTTCTTGCCGCCTTTGTTCAATGAAGTTTTTCGAAACTAGTTACGTTACATAATGTTGCTGCGCAAAAAAAAAAAAAAACGGACGGAAACGTGGACGGAGAGAAAAGGACAGACAAGCGCGGACTATCAAATGAAGCTTTATTAGAAGACCGACGAGGCAATATATATATATGTATGTATATATATATATATATATATATATATATATATATATATATATATATATATATATATATATATATATATATATATATATATATATATATATATATATATATATATATATACACGTTGTGTGCATGTTGTGCTCCACCACTGATTCAAAGGTCGCGAACCCTATAGCCGCGGTGGCCGCGTTTCGGACGGCGGCGAAAGGGATCGAGGCCTGTGTGCTTAGATACTTTAAAGAACCACAGGCTGTCAAAATGCGCTGAAATTTTGCCGCCTTGCTTGCGAACGCAAAAAAAGGAACTCGCATAGCACAGCAGTGGTGTAGCCGGAGGGTAGTACACCGGGCCCGTTCTCCCTCCCTCAGAATTTTTTTTTTTTTGCCATAATATAAAAAGCACGAAACAACATTCGACCACACGTACACACACGGGTCCCCCACTTCAAGTGAAAGTGGTGCCACCCTCTTACCCTCGAAAAAAAAAAAAGCTTTTTCTGGGTACGCCCCTGTAGCACAGATTATCATGGTGTAACGTTGGGTGTCACATATGGCCCCCTTAAAAAAGCTCCGCACTTAAAAATATGCCCACCTCGTCGGAGCTGCGGTTATGCTGACGTGGCTGTCACGGGTTTGGTCTCGGCCCTGCGGCCACTTGTACGTGTAGCAGGAATGATAGAGGCCCGTTCGTTATTACGCTATGTTACCGCGTTGAAGCACTCCAGATGGTCAAAATTTTCAAAGCCCTTCACTGCGACGTTGTCGTCGTCGTCATCATCATCAACCTGACTACGTCCACTGCAGGACAAAGGCATCTCCCGTGTTCCGCCAGTCAACTCGGTCCTGTGCCTTGCTGTTCCCAATTTATACCCGCAAACTTCTTAATCTCATCTGCCCACATAACCTTCTTTCTCCCCCTAACCCGCTTCCCCTCTCTGGGAAGCCAGTTACCCTTAATGACCAGCGGTTATCCTGTCTACGCACTACACGTCCGAATATGATAGCCTTAACCCCTGTTTGTTCCCTAAACCACTCTGCTCTCTTCTTGTCTCTTAAGGTTACACCTGCCATGTTCCTTTCCATCGCTCGCTGCGTCGTCCTCAATTTAAGCTGAACCCTCTTTCTATGTCTCCAGGTTTCTGCTCCAGGCACTACGACGTATCTTACAATAATATCGCGTTTTAGGCATGTGGGACTCCAGGTATTAAAGAAAAAAAATCAGGTTGTCGAAAACACGCGGCCACTACTACACCGGTATACCCGGTATGGAGTTGCCCTCGCCAGCACCGCGCGCTTTGTGTAAGGGCCAGGAAAATGAGTGGCTCGTGTGTGTACCACGGACGATCCCTTTTGCGCAATGACGCATGTGTGCCGTGTACGCGATGGCACGTGCGTATACGTATACGTCGGCGACCCGAACTCCTTTTGTGTGTCGCATCGCACCTTGCCCAAGACGTCAGGCACGCGAGCGGCGTGTATGATGTGTCGCTGTGGGCGCAAGCCAGCGGAGTCGCGGTGTAGGCAATGCGCTTACGTATCACCGTCATCTGCTCCGGCCGCCGAGATATGTCACGTGATGTACTGTACACGGCGATAACAAGCGGGGCGGGCGTGTATGGGTTTCGCGCGGAGGCAGGACGTTCCAACGATTCGTGTTTTGATCACCTTGTTTGAGGTGAAACGGCGCCCCGCCGCGGTGGTCTATGGTACTCGGCTGCTGACCTGCACGTCGTGGGCTCGAATCCCGGCTGCGGCGGCTGCATTTTCGATGGAGGCGGAAATGTTGTAGGCCCGTGTGCTCAGATTTGGGTGCACGTCAAGGAACCTCAGGTGGTCGTCGAAATTTCCGGAGCCCTCCACTATTCGGCGTCTCTCGTAATCATATGGTGGTTTTGGGCCGTTAAACCCCACACATCAATCAATCAAATCAGGTAAAATGGCGCGCGAGGCATATTTGTCGTGTCGGTGTTGCAGATTCCAGCTTATGTTGAGGTGGGCGCCTCAACCAGTGGGTTTAAGTGCCCAAATTGAAGGTTAAAACCTCCGAATATTTTCAAGTTTGCTTGCATACGCTCACACTATACAACTACACGCACAAACATTAAATATTTTACACGTTTGATTTGATGTCATCTGTGCCCAATGCTTTTTCCGCATTCTATAGTGAATATTCAGTTGAGTCAAGGTTCGTTTAAGTGAACCTATTTTCTTGGGTTCCTCGAAGTTCACTTAAGCGAGAGTTCACTGTGTATACCCTCCATATATCGTCCCACATAGGCACGCTTTTCTTCGTCTCTTTTTACCGCGCTTTGAGTTTAATCGGCAAACCACCTTTCAGGTCAATTTAACTTCAATGTGTGACCGCAGTCAGACGTCTGCACTCACCTCTGTTAGGCTGCGACCGATAGCGCCACATGAAGACCGATAAACGGAGAATGATAGCGGTGCACTCAACCGAACAGGCGGACATGCGAAACTCGTAATCTCGGTTGTGTTTGGTTTTTTTTTCTTCTTGGGCAACCTCTCATGCTATATCTTCACAGTACACTCAGTAAATTTGCAGTGAAACTTCGCTCGGACGAACCTCGAGGTAACTGAGAATCGTGCTTGCTTGAGCTCGTTGGTTGCACGTCGCGAGGCCGTATCTAGCTAGCTATAATTGGACGGACGGACGGACAGACAGACAGACAGACAGACAGACGGACAGACAGACAGACAGACAGACAGACAGACAGACAGACAGACAGACAGACAGACAGACAGACAGACAGACAGACAGACAGACAGACAGATAGATAGACAGATAGATACAACACACCACTGAACGAGCAGCTGAACGTTTATTGGCATACTTACAGCAGTTGATAGCGAGTGGCATCGCGCACCGATTCCCAGATTGTTGATTTGCGCACGTATAAAAATGGAAAGATAAAGGAAGGAAGCCAGAAATAGAAACAGAAAGGGGAAATATGAAGAAAAGAATTTAAAATACAAATAAAGAGAAAAAGACAAAAAGAAAGGAAAATAAAACACTATGGAAGAAAGAGGGGGAAGAAAGCGAGAACCGAAGAGAAACGAAGAAGGGTGCCCCCAGCCCCGCACTTTCTTTGAGTTTGGCACTAGAGAAGCTGCCATAATGTTGTTTTTTTTTTTTTGACCACTAGTAGTGTACTGATGCTTGAAAGTCCGCTTTCGTCGACGGCCATGGCTTCTGAAATTACGCGCGTTAGCTTGTGATTGCGTCTTGCAAAAATCATCAATGCTCTTTCGGTTTGACCGTGACCCGCCGTGGTGGTCTAGTGGCTAAGGTACTCGGCTGCTGACCCGCAGGTCGCGGGATCGAATCCCGGCTGCATTTTCGATGGAGGCGGAAATGTTGTAGGCCCGTGTGCTCATGCAGATTTGGGTGCACGTTAAAGAACCCCAGGTGGTCGAAATTTCCGGAGCCCTCCACTACGGCGTCGCTCATAATCATATGGTGGTTTTGGGACGTTAAACCCCACATATCAATCAATCAATCGGTTTGACCGTGTATTGATTGTTCCATTACCACGCGGCCAAAGATACAGATAACAAACGGGCAGATAGATGCCTGAAAGACGGGACAAAAGAGCATGCGGCGTCGTTAGAAAGAATTGACCCTGCGATGCCACATCGCCTTCCACGATCACCACTGTCACTGCGTTGTAAACCTGCACGACGTCAAGGTCTTAGCAAGATGCAACGACAAGCTAACGCGCAAAAGGTTAGCAGTCACGGCCATCGACTATAGTGGACAATCACGCTTGAGAACAGTTACTACAAACGAAAAAAAAAAAACGCATTCATGCTGTCAAATAAACTGCTTATCATCATGGACGGGCACGCATATGTGCGCACAGCTGCCAAACAGGATGCGCGCGCCTGTCAATGGTGATAACTGGACGGCGCGCACTATACCACCGCGAAGGCTTAAAATTTAATTGCCGCTGTTCCTGTTGCACTGATAGTTCGTGGTTACGCTATGATTTGCCCTCTCCCATCCTCCTCACTTTCCGTTCCCACCCCCTTGATATCCTGTACTATCCGCCTCAAATGAAACCCGAACAGGGGCAAGCAAGCCTTAGCGGTGGTATAGAGCGCGCCGCCCACATATAACCATGGACAGGCACGCTTGTATTGTGCGCAGAAGTGCCCAACAGGATGCACGCGCCTGTCCATGGTGATAACTGGATGGTGTGCACTATACCATCGCGAAGGCTTTCCACTGTTCGGGTTTCATTTGACGCGGATATTACATGGAGCACATCTCTTTCCCTACTGCTTACTATACTACACATCATGACAATGTTATGCTTACATCCTCTCCCGTCCTCCTCGCCCTCACTTCGCTTCCATCCCATGCTGTGCTATACGTATGACTATGCTGTGCTAGGATCTGCTCGGCACAGACCCGCTTTCTGACGATAGTTATAGCGCGAGAACGAAACGACGACACAGAGACAAGAAGGACACGAAAGACATTGTCTCTGTGTCGTCGTTTTGTTCTCGCGCTATAACTATCGTCGACACAGAGACAAGAAGGACACGAAAGACATTGTCTCTGTGTCGTCGTTTTGTTCTCGCGCTATAACTATCGTCATGCCATACCAACTAGCCCAAGCTGCCGCTTTCTGAGGCGCATACCTACCAAATTTTTGCGAACACTACTAAGCATAGCGAGGGTCAGCTTAAGCACCCACTTCTGCTAAAAAAAAAATCAAAACCAATGAGACACACCGTCAGGCGCAGTTCCTAGAAATTCCGCTGTAACAATTTATTTATACCTAATGTATATTACAGAGCTGCCACGAACGTTGGCGCAAGAATGGTGTACGACCATGACTTGCGAAAAAAAGTACGTGTGGCGTGATGCGGCTGTAGCTGCACGGCGGCGTAAGGTCACCGGTCACGTGGTGCGTCCCCGAAAGAAACGAAAAAAAAAATATCAGGAAGGTGGCGCCGCGGGCGGCAGTACAGCAACAGCGGCGGCTGGTGGTGGCGTGCCAAATCAGGCGGACTGCACTATGCTCCAATAGTGGTGCTCCGCCCAGATCCTCTCGAAGTTGCACGGCTCGAAGTCTGCAAGACCAGAGAGTAAGGACGTCCGTCATTCGGTTTATAACATCGGGACGTAAGTGGGCTCATAGGAGCACTAAAGAGCAAAAAACGCTTTTGTCGCGTATTAGTAAAGTACAATTTCACAATCCCGATAACAGCGCTCTTATCCCGACACACGACACTTGCTGCCGTATTCTGGAACGTCCCTTCGCACAACGCTTCACCTTCCCTCGAGAAAGCCGACGGGAGCGCCGTCTCTAGGCCCGGCAAGTCACTGCATATCGGCGATCATCTGCTGCGATTCTTGAGCCGAGCTGTGGCGCGGTGCTCAACTTTGTCAAGTCAAGGATGAAAGTCGAGGCGAGGAGCGTTTGTGAATACGGGGGTTAGTAAATGAGAAAACACGCGAAAAGAAACTGTGGGCGGAGATGCCATATTGAGATTGCCGCACCACACACTGCGACGTAATCAGTTTTTGAAGGTGTCTACTGTGTCCTACGTATGTTCTAGTCGATAAAATTGAAGTACATCGTAATCTGCTGGTGCCATAGATTAGGCGCACGTACACAGTCTCAAAAATTTCATCGAGCCGATGCCGCGAAAATACCAAAAATACATTGTGCAATTTCTTAAGCCATGCGCGGAGATTACGGCACGATATTTAAAAATGATACTTCAACATTCATTTTATCTGCTAATAATGACCTAACGACAGGAAAACTCATCACGTTACGAGTTCTCAGAGTGCAGTTTATCAGTTTAAAACAACTCATTGTTTTTCTTTATTGTCCCTTTAAACAAATAATGAATCATTCGGGGGTGTATTTCTGTCACGCACCTGCACGACATACCACACGAGCTCTTTTACATCCGACTGGGTCAGACCTTCCCAGTTTTAACCAGCCGAGAAGAGGTTACGTTGCCGAGTCTTCGTGTCTGTGTTGCGCTTGCCCCATCTGAGGCCACCCTTCGGGCGCACGGCTTATATAATACACCCTGCCCGTAGTTTCGCAATGCCCTAATCCAATATCCAACGGCAACGTCAGATCCCGATATAGGTGTGTATAAAAAATCTTCACCAATTACCGGACTTCTTTTCGTGTACACACAAACTGCAAAAATTTCATTACTCCCCCCTCCCCGCCACACACAAAAATACGTTTCTAAAGCTCTGTGGCTTTACGCTACAAACAAGTCATTACAATTATCTCTCGCAACCTTTCAGCCACCTTGCGGTATTACGCAGAACTCATTCGCAATATTAGGTCGCCCCTTAAATGGGTACGTCATGAATAACTTTTCAATGTAATCATCGAGTAACCTTAGTATCAAATTTTATTACCTCAATAATAGACTAAGGCGAAAAAAATCTGAATATGTCACAAACGAGTGGAGTTGCACTAAAAGGAAAAACTCTTTTTCATGTACTGGCAAATTACTCTTTCACGATTTTAAAAACACCATGATTGTTGCGAGAAGGAGAAAAGAATCACAGCATATCCACGGAGTGAATCATGATGAGTGGGGTGAAGCTTCGGAGGGTTTTATTGGTAAACCGTGAATTGTTCGTTCGTCCGCTGGCCGCGTCCATGTCTCTGTCTGTCTGCCTGTCCATCCATCCGTTAATCCAGTGAACACTTCAAGTACTGCCATCTCCTATCTTTTAATCTTGTATTCATCATACACAAGTACCGCCATCCAGCGGACATTCCGAGGACTAAATGAAAGGTGGCTACTACTACATACCTCAAAGACGCACGGCTTAAGGAGCTTCGCCCTTAAAAGGCGCAAAAAATACATACATGGGCATAGACTCCATCCAGTTTGAAGTTCGTCCCCCAATCGCCGTGACGTCTTAAAACCTGGCCACCACGCGCCCTCTGACGGCGCGCCATTTCAGAAAGTCCTGCGCTGATGTGCTGCAACGAATATGCGTGGCCTGGCCTCTAATTTTGATGGTGTCTACTGGGATTTATGTAGTTCCTAATTGACAAAAATGAAGCACACTGTCCTCGGAAGGGCCACAGATTTAGCGTACCGAGTATTTTTTTTTATAAAATGTTCCGTTTGTCCAGTGCGGTCGAAATGCGAATAGATAGTTTTGAAATCCATCGCGTCGCGAAACTCCGAATTCCCCGCACGTGACGGCGTGAAATTTAAAAACAAAACTTTGACCTCAATTTTCTTCCCTATTATTGAGCCTGTGATGATGAAACTTGCGACAATACAGTTTTCAGTTTCATTTATCTGTCTAAACTAATTCATTATTTCCCTTTGAAGTCCCTTTAAGCGCTTTCTCCTCTCCTCCCTACGAGGCCTCTGGAAGCTACAGAGGAAAGGGTAACACGCTAGAAAGTGACGTCTGCGCGTGTTATCACCTTGAACGCTCGTAGTGAAATGTGATCGCTCTCTCTTCCGTCATGATTCCTGTGCGTGAGTCTGGCTCACTGTGTGATGTCAATGGGGTGCGGCGCCGGCACGTTGCAGCACCTTTTTGTAAGAAGTGCATGGGATCCGTGTGCCGCTGTTAATTTATATCAGCTACTGGCAAACGAAATTCTATTCTATGTTCGACGTCAAATAGCAGAAGCCAGCAGCTCCGAAGCGCGTGTGGACAAGCCTCTGTATTAAAAAAGAGCGCCTGATTAGATGGTTACATAATTCACATTGCATTAGTAAATAGCTTGTGTTTAAACACAAGCTATTTGTTGTTACACAAGTTGGAACATAACGGATTACAAAGCCAGCTATGCAAAGCTCAAAAGATGGCAAAGAGGCACGACATTGATGTGCCTGTTTGTGTCATTTTGTCATTCCCGTTTGCAGTCTCTTGAACTTAGCAGTGCTGCCTTCGTCATTCGTTTCTAAACAATCCTTGCCGTGTATGACAGCGATTTGGCTGAGCTGTTCATAGCAGTGTTTGCAATCCCTAGTACATGTTTACCCACCGCACCTGAGAAATGCTTCATGTCACCTCCAAATGTGAGACATTTATTTGGTCGGCTATACCCTGACAAATGAAAATCATAGTGGCATAACCCATACACATTTTAAATCATGCGATTGTTTTTCAGAGTGCATCAAAGCAATAACTTTTAGGAACGACATGAGACAGGACACTCTCACAGCTGCTGGAAAACAAGGAGTGCTCTTTACATAAAAGAACCTTTGCACAACAACACCTCCATTTACGTCGAACACGCTAGTCAGTTGTTGGGAATACCACGTCAGCGACAAACAATGATGAATGGACAATGATGCACGCCACAATACGCCAATCCATCATGCCGATGGCGCGAAGCATGTGAACGAAGTGCCCTTTTCTTACCAGCCTTGGTTGAGAAACAGCTTAAAAGTTTTTAGGCTCAAAACAGGGCAGCATAGACAACATTTTTAAGGGTCATACTTTCATTCTCCTTCAATGACATCAGGTAAAGTATACAGATTCTAGTAAGACACAGTAGAGATATCTGTGACATGGTATGAACAGTTGTGACACTGTGTAGATATGCAGATGTGACACTGCACGTAAGTGTGACATTGCACAGACATGCAGTTGCACAGACAGTAATGGCTGCCTCTGTGTGCGCAAGCTATGGATTTACCGAAGGCATTTGAGGATGAAATGTCAAAGATCTGAAACAATATTTCAGGCTAACGCCTGTGTACATGAGGTTTACAGTTTCTGATGTAATGTTACTTATAAGATATTTAATTGAATAGTGTATCCAGACAAGCAAGATGGAGGATATTTCATTTCCCCAAAGCTATTAATTGGCAAACCTGTGCCTCGGCAAGCAGACGTGCATAAACGCAAACGGGACAGCACACAAACAGACAAGGTGTGAACAGGAGATGATAGACTGCCGTTTTTTTAGAGCACAATAACCTGAACTTCTCAAAACCTGGCTGAACTAGATCCTTCAATGAAAGCACAGATGCTGTGAACATCACGTGAGAAGCAGCGGCCTTAGAGACTAACCAGCCAAAAAAGAAATAAAAGAACATGCGGGTCTTACCAGGTGTTCGAGACGGCTGCACTTTCTTGTAGACGACCTGTGCAGCTGCAAAAAGAGACGAGCACGTGCATTAGGGAAAACCTCGACAGCACACGAGGTGCTAGCAGCTGCTAAACCGTAGAAGCAGCTGCTCTCGCGTCAGGAAAGGTAAGAACAGAGTGCCAGGTGCTTACCGGAGTTTTGTGTCTGCTGTGTTGCATGCTCATACTCTCGGCGAACCATGTTCCACGCTGAAGAAAAAAAGAAATAAAAGGATGTCACAGTCAGTCACAGATTGTATCTGCTAGCAAAACGGAGCGCAAAGTGGAACATGTGCATTAAGAGAGCACTTTGTGGTCAAGCTTTATTTAATGAAGGGCGTTCATATATCATTTTCCGTCTGTACCCACTTGTCAAGGGACGCACCGCATCCGTCACGCAATACATGTGTCGCTGACACGCTCATTTCTCTCCTACTTGCAACAAAATGCTTCTAAAAGCTCTCTTGCCATTTTGTCACGACTCTTGGTGGCACTTTACATAAGTGTCGAAGCCTTTTGAGTCCAGATAAAATACACGGAAGTGTTTAAGGGACATATCAATGGTTTAGTGCGAGAATGAAGAGTCCTTTCTTTGTACTTATCCATAAACAGCTTATCACTACAGTGTTAATTTGTGAGTAGGTAAAGGCCCAAACATATGAACCCTCCTTACAATTAACACTTGTTGACTTTGCAGCGTCCGTGCTCTCCCCCCTCTCAGACTGTGAACCAGTTCATGATTCTTATCGTCCCCTTGCCCGAACAAACTAGGCATCAGTCATACCAACTGATAATTAACGTTATAGGTACTGGCATTTTCACTCGATGCCCTTCTATTTGTACCTGTTTCTTCGCTTTATAATGACTGACTCTACCACAGTAGTCGTTGTCTACTCTGCATGTCCAAAGCCCTGCAGAGATGGGTCTATTCAACTTAAAATAATTTTAAAGTCATTTGTGGCCCCGATTGGGCCTGATATAGAATGCCTCTTTTGAATTACACAACAAAGCAACGATACCAAGAAAGTTCTTGTTTTACTCGAGCACTCCACATGAAATGAAGAGGCCAATGACACTTACCGGATACCACTGATAAGCTGTGAAGCACAACTTATCAGCTATGCCCCATTTCACGGAAGTTTTACTTAGTTTGATTTCACGCAGACTTTTTTTTGTCCCATTTGATTAACAGCTTCATTTGGCATATCAGATTTGTGTTCTTTTTTTGTGAGTTTCTGTATATTTTTCATTCATTTTGTAACTGTCTAGTGCAGTACAGTAGACTGTCAGTAAACGAAAATCTGTTAAATGGACCTACTGCTTAAACGAAACTATTGGATTTGCTGTGCTTGGTCTCAGGCTTGCATTCTGCACCTATGTTCACCTCTCAGTCAAGAGGACACCTGTTAAATGGAAGATACTTTCACGGTCCCTTAGGTTCCATTTACTGAGAGTTTACTGTATTATGAACTTTTAAGTCTTTTTCATGACGCACTACCCTTTTGCTTCGTTAGTGTAGGTTTCTAATTCAAAATGCCTCGTGGCCTTGCATCTCCCCTATATCCTGTAGTACCTTTACCTTTTAATAGAAAAAATAAAATGAGACAAAAGTTCGTCACAAATATTGCCTGGTTAGAAATGCTGATTTGAAAAGTTTATATATATGGTTTTGTATAGTATTTAAATTTTTACACAGTATTTTTGCTTGTAAAAAGAATCTTTTGAGAATTTCGTCCACACACATTCATTTACCTAATGAGATTTTGTTTTCAGCATTTCGATGAAGGTCCCATGTTAGTGAGATTACGGTTGAGGCCTGCGATGCACGCATCATGAATGTTCCGACTGCGATCGAAAGTGGCACCGCGTGGATCAAGCTTGATTTCAATCGGAAGCAGTTTTGTACAGATCAATCCCGATCAGAGTTGAAGGTGACCACACGACAAGACCACATGGTTACCTTCAGTCGGAATATCAGTTATGTCACATGCAATTATTAAGTCTCATGTTCATATCGACGAAAAATCTTTGAACACAGGGTTACGGTGACGACGTTTCGACAACTCATATTCAAGGCGGCAGTAGAAAAATGAGGTGATAAACTGAACCAATGCGGCAGTTTATGCGCAAATAAGGTCACTCAATATCATTGAAGAACAAGGCAAACTTTTTGTGCTGTGGTATTACAGGCTCTTGCTGCCAAGTTATTGCTTTGAAGAAAAGACTCAAGTGAAATTCTCTATTTGAGGACTTTTCGTCTCCTCAAGCTCCCATCTTTTCCGGAAGTTCTTATTAGAACACACAGTATTAATGTCATCGGTTACCGTTGTCACAAGGACACTTTTGATCGCGGCGGGGCCCGATTTGGCAATCGCGATTGGCTCCTTTATGCACGCTGCAGAAGGAAGCCAATCACAGTTGAGAAAAGCCCCGATTGGACATGACCACAGTCAACAGTGCACCGTGTGACACCAGAATAATTATAGAATCGTCAACTGAAGTACAGTGTACTAGAACAAGGAGAGTGCTCGAAACAGTCGCATCACCAATGCACGGAAAAGGATGCAAAAAGAGCGCAAAGCCGCTCATGGCGCTGCGATCAGTAGCCTGCAGTGTGTCTAAGTTTAAGAGTTGCACACGACTCCACCAAAGTGGTGCAGAGGCGCAATGCCTGCTTCTCACTTAGAAGACCCTGGTTAAAGTTGCAGCTGCAGATAGCGAGTCTTTATTTTTACTATACTTTTACTATTACAGTTGTACTGGTTTTCTTTTTATTTATTTAAGCTAGCCTCAGGTGCATCGCATACTCACAAAAAGTAACGCAAAATGTGAAGTAAAATACAAGACACTTGACATCGAGCGTAAACATTTGCAGTGCCACCACAGAGGATTCAACATGAACATAAAATGTGCAATAAGCACACAAGCCAATGGTGTTCTATTACACTGTGGGAAAAAGCATTCCATTGCTAAACACGACACTCTGTTTTCTTAGTATTCAAGCCTTCACTGTTTCCTGCTGATCAAATGTCGACTACAAGTTTTTCTTTTGCGGTGAGCCAGCGGCCGACAACCGAGAGGAGCATAAAAAACACAAGGCAGAATCTCTTATTTGTCTAACACTCCGAGGCATACCTTTTTTTTTTTTGTTTGTTTAATGTCTCTTTCGCAATGGCACTGCAAATTATTACGCTCACTGCCGAATTCCTCGTACTGTACTTTACACTTCATGTTACTGTTGTGTATTACACTACATATACACTGCTGGTAATAAAAAAAACAAAAAGAACAAGAAAAGGAATTACAGTAAAAGTATAATAACACTATAAACAGCTACAACTCAATCCCAGGTCTTTCAAGTGGGAAGCGGTCATTCAACCTCTGCATCACTTTGGCAGCGCCGTGCGCAACTTTTGAACGACGCAATGCAGGCTGAAGATTGCAGTGCCACACGCAGCTCGACCCTGGTTCGGTTTCACTCTTCGAAGCACTAGTTGTAGTACACTATAACATAAGTCACGCTGCAGATGAAGTGAGAATAAGGCCACTCACAATCACCAAGGTACTGGGCTAGCTCCTCGTGCTGCGGCGTTACGGGCTCCTGTTGCCGATGAGACGACGGCGAGTGAAGCCGCCGGCTGTTTGTCTGATAAAAAACTGGTCGTGGTCCCCTACAACAAACAGTGGGCAAGCATCGACATTTCTAACATGAGCATAGAGTAAGGAAGGTTTTGATTATTAATATTGTTATATAGTCAAGAGTTCGACGGAATCCCGTCTGGTCGGGGAAAAACATAATGCAAAATAACAAAAACGCCGACCAAGGTGAAATACACAAAACTTAAAAAGACATTTCGGCTCCCCACACGGGAGCCTGTGAACAAGGCTCCCGTGTGGGGAGTCGAAATGTCTTTTTAAGTTTTGTGTATTTCACCTTGGTCGGCGATTTTGTTATTTTGCATTATTTATTGTTATAATTTAGACTGAGCCAGTTAGACCTGGACTGGCCACAAAATGTGTATAACAGATAACCGGTTACAACATATTTACGGCAGTGTTGAAAAGGTGGACAGAAAAAAAAAAGCAGTGTGTGAAGTTGAGCAAGTTGGCGCATAGCTTAACAAAATATGTGTGGCACAATGAAGACAATGACGAAAAACCAAGGACAGGATACTGCTTCCTCGTCTTATTTGTGCCACAAATATATTATGAAAGATAGAAGATGTGATCGACCATGCTTTGTCAGTCGTGTCTTCTCTTCTGTCCACATTTCTTTCTGCACTGTCATTATTTAGGCATGAACAACCAACAACTGAACAAATCACACTCCTAAGAACAACTGGTGGTTAGCTATATCAATAGAATGGTTGCCAAGGGACTGAGAACGCAGGCAAGAATGGTCGCAAGTTAGATGAGTAATGAAATAGAGTTCAAAGGTGTAAAATAGAATCGCTTACACAAAATAGGTACATTGCAGATCATTTGGGGGGGGTTGTTAGTCCTGCAACTGCAAGTGACGATAAAATAGGCTGCTAAGGATGACATTTTACTAGTAAATGTTTATGCTTAAGAGAAGTTTAGAAAAGCTTCCTTGTTTAAAAGGGTACATGAAATTTATATACAGAGAAGCTGTAACTGTTCTGCGATTCCAAAGACTTTGCTTACGATTTTTCATGCAAATTTGGGATTGAAGAGAAGCTTTTAGGATAGAAAAGCCCTTGCGGGTTCCTTGGCTTTCTTTACGACTATTTAGGCAAGATAATCTACGGTGTGAGACAGCTTAGTACAAGTTACTACCAATGCACAGCTGTAGATGGCAGGCATTGGCAGCTAATCTTTTTTTTTTACTGCTCATAGCCGGAAGTTACGTTGAAAGCTTTGTTTGAAGTTAGATGTCCAGGAATTTCAGTGGCTTTAGAGCACTAGAGGGACCTGTGCAGTTGTTCATATCAAGTGATTATAACATGTTGTCCTTCAGCTGCATATGCCTTCCATTATCTATACCTACACCTACAGTTGGGGCATCGTTCAATACCACTGAAACCCGTCACCTTTTGTGGGCCGAGTTGTACCTTGCTGCTTTTCTTGATGTTGTTGTTGAAGGTCAGTCTTTAGCTCAGCACAGCCTATAATTTAGTACGTTTTTCTTCTCTTTCTATTTATGATTATCAAGGTCATATCATGCTTAGTAGAAAAAGTGAGATGTACTGATTTGGTTGTACTGATTTGGTACTGATTTGGTGGTACAATAAGCAGGTCATACCTGTCATGAATGTTACACCTTCAAACAGGTCATACCAATATTGAATGCTACATTTTCAAACAGGACACACCAATCCTGAATGTTACATCTTTAAACAGGTCACATCAATTCTGAATGTTACATTTTCATGCAGGTCATACTTATCCTGAATGTTAAATTTTCAAGAAGGTCACATCAATTATGAATGTTACATCTTCATACAGGTCATACCAATCCTGAATGTTACATCTTCAAGCAGGTCACATCAATTCTGAATGTTACATCTTCAAGCAGGTCACATCAATTCTGAATGTTACATCTTCAAACAGGTCACACCAATTCCGAATGTTACATCTTCAAACAGGTCATACCTATCCTGAACGTTACATCTTCAAGCAGGTCATACCTGTCATGAATGTTACACCTTCAAACAGGTCATACCAATATTGAATGCTACATTTTCAAACAGGACACACCAATCCTGAATGTTACATCTTCAAGCAGGTCATACCTATCCTGAACGTTACATCTTCAAGCAGGTCATACCAATCCTGAATGTTACATCTTCAAACAGGTCACATCAATTCGGAATGCTACATCTTCATACAGGTCATACCTATCCTGAACGTTACATCTTCAAGCATACCAATCCTGAATGTTACATCTTCGAACAGGTCATACCAATCATGGAAGTTTCAATTTTTATACGAAATTTTTTTCTATGTGAGCTTAAAGTGTACCGATCTACAACCGGCGTGTCCCAGTTAATACAAGACATTGAAAACTGTCTGCACACCATTCTTACTTTTCTTTTTTATTCCAGGCAGTGGCAACGTGTCCTTATTGGTACGCGACGCTGCAAACTGTCGGCACACCAGTCTTTTTATTCCAGAGAGCAGGTATTCGTCGCCGCGAACGGGTTAAAAGACCACGCAGTGAAAACGGGACTGGCGCCGTTCCAATTCCTGCAAGAACACGTTGCACGGCGGCCGCCTAAAAAAGCCCCGCCATCCTAAAGTACGTTACCAACGGGACTGCCGCATACTTGAACCCGCGTGCTAAGCGCTCCACCGTTTGATACAAGCGCCGTAAATTCAGAGCGCCCGGCCATCCGACGAGACGTGAGCAAGAAAGCAGCCATTCGTCGACGTCTTTGACCGTGTTCGCGACGCAACGATGCGCAAGGACTTCGCTGAACAGATCGGGTGTGACTTTTTTTGCGATAAGAATGCATCGGTGGTCCCGTCTTTTTGACGACTTGCACGAGGGAAATCCGTTTAGATCGCTATCGAAGGGAAACGTCTCGCACGATTCGCGAGATCTAGCCCGCTCTCGCAAGGTCGAGCTTCGTACCGAAATGCCTTACGATTGGGCACACTTGCGATGCACAACTGCGCTTCTTTTGGTCGCAACATGCAACTTCCACGCACAATCGCGTCGGAAAACGGGAGTCAATCGATCACAACACCGGATCGAAACTTCGCGAACCGATTTTCCCCGAGAACAGGTCGCCAAGAAGTCCGCGAACTTCGGGAGAGATCGGCGCAACTTTCGCGGTCACACGGGAGCGATTTAACAGCCGAGAACTTTGGCAAAAGACATACCTGATTTCCTCGGCATCGCCGTTATGGTGAAATCCGTTCGTCGTGGTCACTTTACGGTGGTTGGCGGCCGTTTCTGTATTGGCCAATTTCGGCGGAGCCCCTGGGAGTGAGAAAAAAAACAAAACACGGCACATGTTAGCAACGAACAAAACGAAGAGGGCAGAGGGATTATCCCGCGGATCTGGCGTACTGATCCGCGGATTAAACGCGGGCGGCCTGTGCGAACGACCCCAGCGAGGGCGATTCCACGTGGGGTCACGAATACCGCTTTATTTTTTTATCGCTCCGGTCATCCGTGCGTGCGCCCGCACGTGAGGGGCAACTCTCTTCAGTACGACGCTTCCGCAAGTTTTCTTTTTAATCCTACCAAACACTTGGATCGAAGGACTTACCTATTATTCGTGACTTGGAGAAGACGTGGTGAGGTGCTTTGGAGACAGTATACATTGGAGTCAAATCGGAGATGTATCTTATAAAAAAAATTTAAAAAACTCGGTAAATTCGTCGCCACCACCTATCCTCACGGCACGGTCTCTCCGTGCGGCAACCCAGCTGTTTACCGTGCGGCCGCAGTTAAATGAAAAAAAAAAAGACAAAACACTTCGTCAACGGTTAAGTGGCGTCATCTATCGAGCGTTTGTACAGATAAACGCATGCCTTTTAGGAGGCTGACATCAGATTTATCCGAATTCACGGTCATTTCTTCCATAAACGATGCGTTCTTTCGATGACGATGTGCCAGTGGAGAGACACGTGGCGATAATCAGATGCCCCGATAGCGGCTTTTCGGTTTTCAAGCACGATTTTGCTCTTTCTTAAACTGCGTCATATTTGCGTCAGCGGCAACGTCATCACAGAAACTGGAATAGCGCGCATTTTCATTGGTTGCGACTGGTTCTGACGTCAAGCACATTTGTTTTGATGGTCTTTTCCTGTTGTTGTTCTTAGGCGGGCACTTTGAGATCATTGATGCAGCGAAGCATGCTTGAACGTGTCGGGGTGAATGCGACGAAATTTCAAGTGATTAACTGCGTCGGGAAATGAATAGTTGTTTGTTTATTACGGCGAAATCTCCCAAATGGCTTTAGTTCAAGAAAGAAATAAGATCGATAACATGCGTTTTCTTCTCTTTAGCATGGGTACCGGTCATGGCGCCAAGTATAGTTAAAAAATCGATTAATATCACTTTTACCTGGTGTTGATAAAAACGAAACCCGTTGTAATAATTATGATATCTACTGCAGCGTCTTAGATGTGCGAAGGGTTCTTCAGATAGGGGAGGGAGAGGGCGGGGGAAGTGTCGCAGCACCACCCTTATGACGTCGATGTATGGGGCTGACTTTGTACCCTCCTCTCCGAGTCGCAGTGTCCTCTCCCTGTCTTCGCAATGCGAGGGGCTGACTTTTCACTCGGTCTTAGGTGACTGGAGTGGCGGAGGAGGGTACGGCCACCTCTCCTGAGCCCGCCTGTGCGCGCACTTTTGCATTTGATATCACGTGGTGAAGACGATTTGACAAGAAGTTTGCTAATCTCCGGGTGTATCGGATCTATCGCCCTTGTGCCAGATTTACCGTATTTAATCGTGTAATAGGCGCACTTTTTTCTTCTCCTAAAATCCAGCTCCAAGTTTGGGGTGTGCCTATTACGCGGGGTGAAATTTCTGAAAATTTCATTTCTGACTACAGCATAGACCGTTGATAAGGTACAGGTCACCGAAGTCACGAATATCCGCAGTACAGCTGAAACAACGTTTTTCATAGGCTACATCAGCGCAAAACGTGTTGAGCATGAGGTCTCGCGTGTCCCACAATAGAAGCATGCGATGCGTGCACATTCAAATTTCCAACGTTAATTCCGTACAAAACCGCAACTTTGATCATCTGCAACTGCCACCGACAAGTAACCAATATTGATTAGGCCTAGCCTACGAATATAATTATGACATAAAATATCTCACCAAAATTTCTTAGCTTCACACCTGCTCAAAGCTGTCGGAGTAAATTGAGTTTCAAAGATTGGTGTCAAAACCACTGTAACAATGAACCCGCAGCCCCAAAATCGACAAACGCAAGCTTTTCAAGAACACCTTACCTGATTGAAAATATCTGACATTCTTCTTTGCAAAATGGTTGATTGGGTGAGTTGGTGATTCATGATGGTTTGAAATACGAGTGCGACACGTAGACAAAGACAGCTAAGACACGGACAAGCAGTTACTAGCAAATGAAAGTAGGCGTTAAGGAATTGCTTTAATGCAAAGTGGGCATTGGTGAGGTGGGGCTGATATGCATATATATTTTATCAGTTTTGTTATGTTTGGTTCTCAGTGTGGTCTTATCGCATGTGCTTACGAAACTTTCATGTGTCAGTATATATTTCATAGCCTTCCGATTAAACTTTCAGTCGGTAGTAAGCACTTGTCCGTGTCTTAGCTATCCCTGTCTACATATCGCAGTTGTATTTCAAACCGTCATATATACAGTCCCTCTAATAAAGCTGCCGTAATACCTTGAAATGTTAGTGTGACGGGGCTCTAACTGAAGATGTCGACAGTTTGTCAGCCGGCAGTTTTTATTTAATAAATACAGGTTACAACGGGACTGTCACGAGAACGTCGTGAAAATCGAGGCACTTGAAGATACAACGCAAGAGGAAGCAGGTCTTCAGGAAGAACTTTCAGCAGTGGTCTGCAGATACAGCGGCAGTCTCGTGCACACATCAGTCACGTGGACTTGCTCCTGCAAGCATGCGGTCTATTACGTGCACGAATCTAGATGACACAGACAGTACTCGTGACAGTGCTGCACAATGAAAATCGTTCCTGCAAACCATAACTTCTGAAGAGGCCCGGTGAAACTTTTTCAGCATGGCCCAAAAACCCCGTCGGTCGACAGTTGGTGCTTATGAGAGCATGCGAGCCAAACATTACTGCGCAGCATGCAACATGGAATTTAAGATTTTTTTCTCAAAGTCAACTGGGCATCATTCCTTCTCCTTTTCTACGAATGATGCCTTATACTCAAATTACTGCACCGTATACACGTATTCACGGCCGTTGGCCGATTTGAGCATGGCGAGCTCCATAGTTACTGAGCCCACCACCAGGTGGGTACCACGCATGCGCTCAAGCTGCCGTTCACACTCAAGTTAAATACCATGTTTGAAAAGAGAAAGAGAAGTGGCCAAGGTCATGACGCACGTGAGATGTGGTTTCTGCCTCCATGCCACCCCTGCTAGCTTAGCTTCAAGTGCACTTGTCGGGACAAGAGAAGAGAGGAAGCAATTACAGCGTGCGACAAATCTTTGCAACTCGACTTGTAATTGATGGATACTAAATTTCTTTGTGGCAGTCGAATCGTGAGTCAATGAAATCCTTCAGGGAAGCCATTCAATGGTTGATTGGAAAAGCTTTGAAGGGTTCTTTTAAAGGGGCCATGAGAAAGTATCCAAACACTTTGCTGTTTTCAGCGAAAAATAGAAGTAGAGGGCCTACTACACCTACACGTCTACTATAAAAAGTGAACTCTAAAAGACTATTTCCATTCCAGATACCATATTTTCTCGCATATAACATGCCCTTGCATGTAGCTGACTTGTAGATCTAACTTCTACTCCACACACACAAAAAAAGAAAAAAAAACGCAAATTTGCCCCTTGCATGTATTGCATTTACTCGATTGTAACACAACTACAATTGCAATGAGAGGGTGAACTTTTCATTGTGTCCAGGAAGAAAAATCGTTATTTAGGTATTTGATTGCGACGTGAGGGTCGACATTGAGTAGCAAAAATCTGGAAAAAAAAAAGTTGTGTTACACTCAAGCAAATATGTTACCTGCACCTGTAGTTTTTAAGCCCATTTTCTTCCGTTTTTGGGGCGGGTAATACGTGATTGATTGGTTGATTGATTGATATGTGGGGTTTAACGTCCCAAAACCACCATATGATTATGAGACGTCGTAGTGAAGGGCTTCCGAAATTTCGATCATTTGGAGTTCTTAAACGCGCACCCAAATCTGAGCACGCGGGCCTACAGCACTTTGGCCTCCACTGAAAATGCGGCCGCCGCAGCCGGGTTTCGATTCAGTGACCTGCGGGTCATCAGCCGGGTACCTTAGCCACTAGACCACTGCGGCAGGGTGTCATGGCTACTAAGTCATGGCAGCCATGACGGCTACTAAGCCGTGATGGCGAGTTTGGAACACTATTTTTTGCGGCTCTGACTAACACTCCCAGGTAAGTACACTATAAAGTGGATGGGAGGATTCCCGCCACTGTTGCTCAGTTGCTAGAGCATAGGATGTGTCATTCAAAAATAGCAGGTTCGGTTGCTGACAGCGGCAAGTTATCTTTTTGTCCACTTCACTGTCGTTACATTTATATCCTAACTACTAAAGATAACATCTATATTGACACGTGCGGTTCTTTTGGTTTACGAAGGAAGACGCTATCACTTTCTGTTAAGCGCAACGCAGGCCGCGTTTATCTTGTATGCCACTCTGGAACGCGTTATGACGCGTGTATAAAAAGCCGGCGCAGTGCGCCACTGGCGGTCTTTTCTTTTTTTCCCGTCGGCCGACGACTGTTCACGCCGCTGTTGCTATGAGTTGTGTTTGGCCCCGTTTTGCTGGGCACAAGTTCGCCCAATAAACAGTTCGCCTGACACCGCCCTGACTCCTGCGTGCTTCCTCTCAAGTGCTGCGTGTATCACAACCTCGTGACAATATATTACTTGGCTCGATTGAGTTCTAATTAACATTGTATTTAGCAAACAAAAATGAACGCATAAATTTAATGCTCCTTCTTTTGTCAACAAATCACAGGTTGTTACACACTCAAACATCGTTATAACAAACCTAGGTATAACGAAATACCGGTTATAATGAAGCAAATGAAAAACAGTCTTGCAATAGACATAGCATTAATAATAAACCTTTATAAAGAATTTTCACATGTAACAAGCTTATTTTCGTGTAAGTCGCAACCATTTTATAATGAGGATTGACTGTAGCAAATGGGGTGTCATGGCCCCCACGAAATGTGTCGGATGTTTTATACAATGTACGCAAGATTTCTTACACGTAGTGTTTGTGATAAGAAGTTAGAAATTCTTCAATAGTATCACGCGGCGATCATTCCATAGCAGGCGAATAGCTTTAACAGAGCCTGATGGTAGAGTCATTTCTTGATATTAACATGGTTCAATTAAAAAACGACCATGAATTCATTTCTGCATCCTTGAGAGCGATGCTGTTTGAGACAGCAGGAAAGCAGCTGTACCTTCAATCCTGTGTCTCGGTGCCGCACGTGGGCAACGCCCGTCTTCAGCGTTGCATCGTCCAGGATGACTACCACTACCACGCCCATTTCGTCAAACCTGCAATGTGAATCACTGTTAAAAAAAATTTGAAAGAAGAGAGAAGGGCCACAGTTAAGTATGCAAAAGATGACGCTCAACTACACAGATGGAAAATATGCATGGCTTTCCAAAAGGATCAGCTTCACTTACGCTGTATACAAGTAAGAAATGTGGATACAAATTTGCAGTTCACGGCGTAATGTTGTTCTTTGTACTACTCCCTCAGGCTAATACCCCTGTCACACGGGCACCCGCGAAGAACGTTTAACTCCCTCGTCCTTACGACAACGAAGATGGGGTCCGTGTCACACGGCCACCCTTACGCAAATGAAGGTAAATGGAGCATTTCGCAAAGGGCGTTCAACGATCTCCCTTCGCAGCGAAACGAGGTACTCTCGTCCCCAGCAGTCTAGAGGTCAGAGAAAAATTTCGAGCAGTAAGTGGCCGCAGTGAAAGAATAATACATTTTGGCAATATTAATTGTTCTTTCGTTGTAGTACTCATTCACAACGCGTGTTTGTTTACATATATTTACGCCCGCCAGAGTTCACTTACTCTCAACACCGATGCCCTACACACCGTGCCTCACGAGTCGGGCCGGCCGGCGCCAGGCGATATACGTAATTACCCGCGCAATATGGTACCACTTCCTCACGTCGTCCACTGTGTCACTCATGGCTGAAGAACACAAAATGTGTGCTCACGAGGCAAGGAAGCATAAGAATTTTCGTACTGAGCATGTATACCGGCAAGAAAACAACTAAAAGCACAATGTGGCCAGCGTCACTAGCAGCATTGCTACATTTAGTAAATGCGTTTTTATTTGAAATTATTTTTAATGGTTTGTTAGTCGCATACTTACTTAATAGTGCTTTTTTGTAAAAACTGCATAACAAGCATTCACAAAAAAATCAATAGAGATGAAATTAGAACGCTTTTCCGAAAATCAAACAACACCAGCTGAGCCCCCTCGCGGCAACTGTTGCAACCTCGTCATTGTCGTGTGACACTGCCACAACTCCTTCTCCGTCGAACCCCCTCGGGGAGATTTACGTTGACGGTGTTCAACGGAGTTTGGTGGTGGCCGTGTGACAGGGGTATAAGTGACCATGCAGGGCGTGTGATTATGGGCACAAGGGTTGTTCTGCTATTTGACACAGTTTCTACAGAGCTTTTTCCCTTTTTTGTATTCTGTTAGTGCGTACAGTACAGGGGCATGCACTGTCGCCTGTGCAATAGAGAGACAACACTCTGTCACTGCTTTTACTCGATCTCTGCAGCCTCACTTGCTGGTTTCGGCAGTTAATGAGGTTGTCGTAACTTTTTTCCTTCGCTATCTGTCATCTTGAGACCATAACATGCCACTTCTCAGCATTTCAAGATTCCCTGATAGTCCCAAAATGAAGCCAACACAGTGGCACTGCACTCCCGGAAGCTCTCAACAGAGTTAACATGCACTCGTTCCTCAGCACACAGGTCTCTAGCATTTTACCTCCACCGAAAGGCGGAAGCCAATTGGATCGATCCCACAACCTTTTGGTCGGTGGTCAAGTATCATAGCACCTGACCACCAGAGCGGATAACAAATTTGGAAGCAGTTCGCACATGCACACACGTGCGCAGACAGCTCGTGCCCACCTGGACAGCTGGTCGTCCAGTGGCAAAGAGCTGCCCAGGCTGGGGTTGGAGTAGATGGCCAGTGTCCCTCGTAGCTGTTTCTGAAGCAGCTGGGCCAATGGCTTTAGGGAGGCCAGGCCTCCCGACGTGGCGACTGCCGCTTGGAAGGGCGCCAGACCCGGGTGTAGAGAGAGAACCTGCGAAGAATCAACGGCAATGTCTCGCCACATGACCGTGAGAAGTCATGGTGGATGACTGAGTGTTAACTGGTTTAGCATAAGCTGGGCTCTTTATCTATTGTCCTTGTCCACATTCCACAAATCATCTAATGCTACATAATGGGGCGGCCTACAAAATATACATGCGACGGGCACACATTTGAGGGCCTTGTTTCCGTATGTGTGCCGACACCGGGTTTTTTGCAAATGCCACAACCAAAGTATGTGAGTTATGAATAGCTTCACCTGATAGAGCCACATTACTAGCCATCAGTCTGTCCTTTCGAAGCAAGGAACGGTTTGAAATAGCAGAGAGTGGAGCTAATTAATAAGCATTCATTCTAAAATGCCCCGGCGTGCACAAGCCGGCATGAGAAGAAAGTCATGACACCATAAACGGCGACTAACAACTGAAGAGATGTGCAATGGCACAAAAGAAAGAAGGCACAAAAACTTACCTCTGCATGCCCATGCAATGCGTGAACTTATCAATCCGGCACACGTTGCGTTTTAGATGCTCAATCTTAGAATGAATTAGAGCTTGTGTCCCGAAAACCGAAATGGTCTATAGCCCACCTGGCCTAGAGGTCCCTCCTGGTGAGCGTCCCTCAGGAAAGCTTCCGCAGCCGTTTCAAGGCAGCCGGCCGATGCCACGAGGCGTCCTCGACTCCAAAGCCTCTCCAGGGGTCCGGATTCCGTGTGGACCACGTGCGACTCCTGGGTTCCCGTCTGCTCCAGCTGGAATGCCCAGGGTCGCCGGGAAAACTGCCAAATGGACAACGAACTTCGCTTTCACTGCATCTCACTTTTTAAATCAGCACAGGTAATTCAATGAACTCGCCAGTATTTATTCTACGCATGGTAAGCGATAAGAACTTACTCATACAATCTTGTTCATTACATATTAATGGCACTTGTACCATCAAATGTCAGTTCCCTTTCTAACTCGGTTCTGGATGATTAAAATCACCAGGAAAAAAAATCACAAGCCGTAAAGGAGGGATGCCACCACCGTAGTTCTGCACGACAAATAACAATGGTACAGATCCGCAGTTACAAAATAGACAAACTTAGGAGCAACACAGACTATACAAGGACAGAATTGTAGTAGGCACATTGTTTGTAAATGTACCATCTGGTAATCAGTCAAGCCTTTTTGAAACCAATGCTTTCTTGTTAAACTTGAGGCTCTGACTGACTAATGTTCGAAAAACAGCGCCTAAACGAAAATGCGTAATATATCCAGAAAAAGACGTCATTCGATCCCCATCCTATTCTACACGAAGAGCATGAATACATGTTGGTGCACAGTATAAACAGACACAAGCACAATAAACACATGGAACACAATGCATGTACTACATGCAGACAAAAATAAACACATGAACAGACTGCGCACTCAGTATTGCACGCGAGCACATGATAATTACATAAACACGTACCCAAACCCTCCGCTGTGGTCTAATAACTATAGTGCTTGATGGCTAGAGACCCGTGTGCTCAGACTTCGGGGAATATTTAAGAACACCGCGCGGCCGCAATTTCTGGAGCCCTCCACTACAGTGTCTCTCGTAACCATATCATGGTTTTGGGATGTAAAACCCCAGCAACTGATTACTTAGCACAAACACAGAAGTGCAAAACAGATCCGTATCTGTTTCCACGAACAATCAGAACGCATCACGTGCTCACCTGTCTCCACCAGCGCAGTCGTTGTCGCTGCCAGTAGGTCATCCACCGTGCTTCTTCTCCGGCAGCGGGAAAGAACAGCAGCTGTTCCAGCGTAACTGCCCTGCAAGAATAAGGAGGTCAAGAGACGTTGAAGAGCGCAAGCGTCTTGAGTGTGCCAAGCTTTAAGTGCAATCGACTTCCAACGATTCGAACTCAGATAAATTAATACTCCGCCCAACTACAACAGTCCATCAAAACTTTAGCTCATCCCCTATGCCTTCATCACATCCCCAAAGAAGCACTGACACAGATTCTTAAATTTTCGAGCTATTGCTTCAGATAATAACACTGGCGACGAGAACCCTAAAAAGAGTATAATGGTGCCTGGGAATCCATGGAGTATAATCTTGATACCACTACTTAAAGAAAGCACTTTCGGTTACAGTATTGAAGGGTTGGCTTCAAAACAATGTGTAAACAGGGTCTGGCGTCATGGGGAGACAGAAACACACAATGTACTAGCAGAAGTTCTTGCGAAAAAACTATTAGTGTGCGCTTGCTCAGAAATATCTTTGAATTCAGAAAATCTGTATGCCAGAGTAAACTCAGCTTCAAAAATTGGTGTCACTATCCCATTTAAAGGAACACTGACACAAAAATTTCGCACACAAACATTTCTTGCTGTTGTTGCAATGGATAGCTTATGACCCACTTATCACAGCTGGAAACGTCGTCCGTGCGAGTGCGCAATGGTTATGTATTTAGAGACGTTCTTAGAGCACCCAGTTTCAGTTTAAAAGAGCACTGAGCTGGGCAGACTGGCCATGTGACCACACAAAATTGTGCCGTGGGTGTGCGCTGCACCGGCAGCCAGCACAGCCAGCAACCATGCAGCACAAGCTTGCAACGTAGGTGTGTTTACACTCTTGTCCCATTGATGTCAGCGTCTCGAGGAGCTCCACATGCTGCTAAGTCATGTGGCATGCACTTCAAAATTGATTTGAAATACGTTCTAGGCTATACTTGCCCTTAATATTTCGTAGATGTGTATATTTCTAGATAAATCTATGTCACTCATTACCTTGCTTTCGAAATTTCGTGTCAGTGCTCCTTTAGGTTCCAGGGAGACTGGCGTCAATTGCCGACTCACCGCTGGTCTTGTGATGACTGGTCTACGAACAAGGGCTTGCTGCTTTTGCTACTCAGCAGCAGTCCGAAGGATGACTCCGAATCCACCAGCTCCTTAGCAGCAGCACAGAGCATCTGTAAATCTGGCGTTGGAACCCCCCAAAAGCTTTTCAGTTCTTAGTGGAGAGGTGTCGATAAGATGTCAAGTATCAAGAACTACGCTGGATTACAACTTCAGTAAGAATGCAAGCTCGACCCACAGAACTGCCCCGCCCCTGCCCTTCACTTTCGACAGACTGTTGCGCTAACTGGTTTCTGCTCGAGCCGTCGTAAGTACATTGTACTTACGGCTCAATAAGCACAACGTAAATTACATGCACATCAAGTGTTAGAGGTTCATCGGTACTTCTTGAAACATTACACTTGGCTGAGCAGCAATGCCAGAATACATGACGACATTTGCCAAGATGTTCAAGTTTCCCACCTGAAACCTGCAGCTTAAGAATGTGTCTGTACGGAAAGGTAAACTATCTGGAACACTGGAGAAGTGCTTGACTTCAGGAAAATGAGTAAGTGATGCTAGGTGGAGCATTCATGCAAATTCTCTGTGCGACGGACAGCAGCGACATCTTTTCTTAGGTTGTAACAGCCGACTATAGAGGCACATTCCTAACGAAATCTTATAGATAACAAATACAAAAAATGTATAGGGAAAATCAATTGTACAGTTTTAAGTATATTGTAGGAATTTTAATACAGATGTGAAGAAAATGAAGTGGACGAAAGGACAACTTGCCGCCAGCATCAGTTGAACCGACATTATTTGAATTTTGTGCGCAATGCATTACCAATTGAGATACGGCAGTGGCCACTCCGTTGTCCATTTCTCTTGTATTTAAGTGCACGCAAACCTGGGAGTGTTCATGAGTGCCACAAACACACCCAGGTTTGCATGCACAGGAATGCCCGATGATGTGGACGAGGTGGGGGGGGGGGGGGGGACAATCACTGCAGTAGCTCAAGTAGTAGAGTGTCAAGCGTGAAATCTGAAGGTTGCAAGTTTTGTCCCAGCTGGTGGAAAGTTGTCTTTTTGTCCATTTTACCTCCCGCACATCTGCTTCACAACTATGACAGTACACATTCAGCAGCACAATTACCCTCTCCTATACATTCCTTGGATTTATTAGCCACTGGATTTCATTCCACTAAGTCGTCATACACTTATCGCTGGAAATAACGCTGGCTTGATCTCACCTTCCGGTGAGTCGGCATTTATTTGGTCCGGCCAGGCTTCTTCCATGGGCAGCACAGTGGCCTCGCCTGATCGCAGGATGTGTCGTCGCCTGCACAATGTGTTACATCACCGCCGACAAGACACGTTCCAGCAAACTACACGTCCTTAATGTGACTACGGTTAAAGGGCTGCCCAGCTGTCTAAGTTTAGTTACCATTGTCTTTACTGCACTGTTTCTTAATTTAGGTGTGTTTCTATGTTCTTACGTGTGGTCTTCTTCACGCAGTTTAAACTAGTTGCCGAACTCATAATGACGCTTTTCTTTAAAGAAAGATTAGAAGGTAACTGACCATTCCCGTCTCAGGTTGTCACGAAGGAGTGTGCCGCACGGCCTGTACGTGGCCTTACCCACGTACCCGTACTTGAGAAGTAGCCGCGTGAACGCCCCTGAAGTGCCCATGGGCACTCAGACATGGTGTGAGCTCTGTGAACCTGAAGTGTCCGTAATCCTGGAAAACAAACGTCAGAATTGTATCATCTTAGCAAATCACTAAAACTGTTCGAAATGTGGAGACAGTGCCTGAAAAGCCATACTAAAATTTTTAAAAATATACGTAATCTTGTAGAGAACGAAATAGGAGAAATTGATCTAGGGCTCGTTTCCTTTGTTAGATGCAACCTAACGAAACCGTCGAAATGGAGATGGTACTGCTGCAAGTTAATTTTTTACTCACTTAAATTCCTTTTCGATTTGGGATGGAGGAAGGACTGGGAGGTTTGTCATAATGACTATTATACCCTTAAAGCATGCAAGTTATGTCCCCCCATACCTTTTTAGCTTAATTGTCTGTTGGCTTCATTAGGCCCTTGTACGGATTGTTACCTTGGGACGTTTCATAGTAAATATATGCTTTTTTATACGTTGTGTATTTATCATCTGCAGGACGGTTACACAATACACGAGTTTTACAAATATGAAGGGTATGGAAATTATAGGACAGACACTAAATATTGGCATTTCGTGTAAATGCCGCGCATGTGCCTAATAATATAATAATATCGTGGTTTAGGTGAGGTAAAAACCACGGCAATTATCACAAACGCCGTGCACAACTGTCGATTTGCATTCACTTGTAGCCCTGCCATTTTCGATTGTGATTAAGCGCCCACGAAGCGGATCGTAGTTCTCAATTGCGATTGGCTCTCTAAGCATCCGCGCCTTGCGCGAATAAACCAATCGTGATCGGCAAATTCGATCTCGATATAGTTCAATCACGGTGGAGAGTACGTCGTGTCATGTCCGCAAAAGGACCGTCTTGCGTAGATGACTCTCACACAGTTCGTCTTTTAAAATAAACTGAGTTTTTTTCACTAAATCATAGCGCGAAATGGCACATGCCCCGCAAACCTGTCGCTCTTCAATCATTTCCGCGATCAGAAGAAATCAGCTGACAGTTATTTGTGACATGATATGCTTCCAAGACAAGACAATTAATGCGAGTGCACTAGCGCAACAGAAAAGCCTAAACACTCGCCACGAAAGCGCAGATGATGCTTTTAAGGAGCGCACAGCTGAACGAAACATTACCGATGACTCTTTTGTGGAAGTCTGGCACCTGCAGTAGCAAGTCGGGCGATTTTAATACTAAAAGTTGATATCTGGCTACCTACGACCTGATCGGCTGAAACCACAGAACACCCGCCTGAAACCTGCTAGAGGGATGCAAAACACGTTTCACGGAGGTCAAATACCGTAGTGACAGCGATAATAGGGCTATCCGCGGCTTTGTTTGCTTAATTATGTATTATGCATCGCGATAACAGTTCATTGAACGGCACGATCGTGAGATAAAACTGTCTGCAACTTCACGGTAACAATAGTACACGTGCTTACAAACTGCAAGAGCTCACCTGCACTCGCGCCGACGATATCTCAACATCGGCGCGCTGGGCAGTGAAGTTGCGTGTGCATCTCGTCCAAGCAGCTACATAAAAATCGGGCGCCGGCGTTTGAAACTTCGCGAGTCTTGTCGGACTCGCACTGCACGCTTTGAACCCTGTGTGTTTCCCCTGGAAGCTACGGCGGCTCGCAGTGGATCAGCCGTCAGTTGCGTGCAGCGGAGGCTTGGCTTGACCGCTTTGTTTAGGGCCATCTCTCCCTCGCCGGGTCCCGTCGTCCCTCTCTGCCAATCGACATGCGGTCAGTTGCGGTGTGCTGACGCCGGTGTTAGCGGCTGTTGTACGGGCGCAGGGCAGGGTTTGGACTCTGCCATGAAGCGGAGACGGACAGTGAGGACGGTTTAGAGGAAGAAGCTTCACAGAAAGGGTTTGCAAATATGATGTTCTACTTCGGCGTCAAAGCGCTCGTCGGGCTGTGCGCACTGGTGTTGCTGGTGGCCGGCCTGATCGACGTGCTCACCATCAATTCGGCGAAAAACGAGTGCGAAATGACGTACATGTACGAACTTCCCGAGTACATTGTGAGTGGACACTCATTTATTTTCATTTATTTTCTATTTCGCTTTGGTTCTTCTCCGAAATGGGTTTCTCCGCTGTGACACCAACAACTTGTAGTATGTGCAAGTATGTGACGAAAGTTCAGAACCCCCATTGCGAGCTTCACTGTACTGCTAGGCTGGGCTTTATTCATGTCGTTTATTCACCCCCGAGGTAAATGCGTTAGATGCGTAGCAGCCGAGTTTACTGCACAGCTGAGAAATAGCAGCGCGAAAGAGCTTTCACCGTGCTCTAGCTGGCACTGCCCGGTGAACTGAAAGCGAAACACCTCGGCAGTTTTGCGGGAATCGAAAATGCGGCGCAATGTCCCAACTTCTCGTGTGTTGGGTGCATGTATCGCACTCCATCTACTTCACGTTTCGTTTTGCCCCACTTTCGTTCGAAGCAGCCGATGACCTAAACCTTGACAACGTCGCTGACACATGCAAAACCGCACCGATAGGCGAACAGTTTGAGTGCTTCAATGTTTTCTTACGTCGCGCCGTACCAGAATTTTCGGTAAACTCAGCTGTGGACCAGTCTGTATCCAGTGCTATGCATAAAACATTCCGTTTGTGTTCTAATAGCTTCTTTTGCCACAAAGCTACCTTCGATCGCTAAGTGTTCACTTAGCGCTGTTAGGCATTCAGCAAAAGTAGAGTTCCACGTTCTTCGCATGTACTACTCTAAAGTTCCTGTGAAATTACTGTAATTATTCTTAAGTGTGTGCATGGTAGCTAAGATTCGTAGCTTTTTGTGTTTAACAACATTGCGTAGTAAAGTTGTGCTGGGTTGTAATCAATTGCCAGTGATTTCAGCATGGTGTGATTCATAGAATGTTTATGCAATGAATGAGATAAATGAAAACATGTCTCAAAATTTCTTTTTTTTTTTTTGCGACGAATATCTTACAACACAGCAAACACTCACTGTTGTCCAGAAATATGGACACAAGTTCCACAATTATATTTTGTATATCAAAGCACGATGTGAATTTTTTAGGCTTCAATGTCACACATCGATGTGTTAGTTTTTGGAGCACTGGTTACACTAGAACTTAAAGTCTTTCGGTGGGTACTTGTAAGCCACACGTGTGAATTGCCTTTCTTTAGAATCAATTAACTGCATACTATTTCTAAATACTTAAACATGTTTTTTATTCCAGCCCATCAAGCTAAATAAAGAAATACAGCAAAAGTACCCAAGGTATCGCCTTGTCGTTTATGGAGAAGGGTGAGATATTTGTTAAATTCCAATATTTTATCTCGTTTACTAAAACGTTCTGTCTCTTATGAAAAACAAAATGAAATGTTGATGTAGACCTAACTTTCATATATCTATACCTATATAACTTTTTCGTATAATAGTGGTTTGTTCATATCGTCCTTTCTAGAAGGATTTTAAAAACACTTTGCTGGTCATTTATGCTAATTTATTGCAGCAAAACACCAACAATCACTGAAGCACGAAGGAGGTCATGGGTTTGATTCCCAGCCACTTTTCCGTAATAGTGCAAAGTTCAATAGCATATGTGCACTGTGTTTCAAGTGCATTTTGAAGAATAGGCTAGCCTTAAACTTTGTCTGCAGCCTTTCACCGCGACATCTTTTGTAACACTAGTGTTCCTCCGGGGATGCTGGAACCCTCTGTACTCGATCATTTACTTGTAACATGGATTTTTACTTTTTCTTGCTGTCGAGCTTCCTACATTATGCAGTTGTCCATTGTCAGTTTGATCGTCATGGTCTTCTGACAATGTTCCTTGTGTTGCTTTTCTGACTGATTTTTTTCTTATTATTCTGTTACATGTGTGTTACTACAAGAGTTTTCCCTGATGTTGCTAACATCTGCTTGAGTGCTTAATTCCAAAATGTGCTGCGTAGGAAGAATTCATTGAAGCATGACAGATAAAAAAAATGAGTATGAAGAACACAAACAAGTAACTGCCATTCATACAACACCAGAGGTGAAATACTTTTACGGAAGCTTGTGCTTGCCTAGATGTACCCTGAGCATTATGGTGAATTAGCCACTGTTTGTTTATCGACTTGCTGGATCTGTGGTGCGATGGCTTGTCTCTCGTTTGGAGTTCTAAGAGTAGGACGTCACATTGTTCATCCATCACTTCTGACGTGCAGCTGTCTTTGTCGATGGCAAATGTGAGCAGAACAATGCCCCACTCATCAAAATGAATTATAGGTCATGCTCGTCTGCGTGACCTATAATGGTTGACTAGTATAGACAGGACTTATAATAGGCATGCCTGAAACAGGCCACACCTACTATAGGCGTCCCCCCCCCCCCCCTTTGTGTGTTTGGAGAGGGAACAGATAGTTTGGCCTTCCTTTATCACTCATAAAGTGGCAGGTATCATCATCATCATCAGCCTGACTACGTCCACTGCATGACAAAGGCCTCTCCCATGTTCCGCCAGTTAACCCGGTCCTGTGCTTGCTGCTGCCAATTTACACCCGCAAACTTCTTAATCTCATCTGCCCACTTAACCTTCTGTCTCCCCCTAAGCCGCTTGCCTTCTTTGTGAATCCAGTTAGTTACCCTTAATGACCAGCGGTTATCCTGTCTACGCACTAAATGCCCGGTCCATGTCCATTTCCTCTTCTTGATTTCAACTATGATATCCTTAAACCTTGCTTGTTTCCTAATGCACTCTGCTCTCTTCTTGTCTCTTAAGGTTACACCTACCATTTTTCTTTCCATTGCTCGCTGCGTCGTCCTCAATTTAAGCTGAACCCTCTTTGTAAGTCTTCAGGTTTCTGCTCGTAGCTAAGTACCGGCAAGATACAGCTGTTATATACCTTCCTCTTGAGGGATAGTGGCAAACTACCTGTCATAATTTGAGAATGCTTGCCAAATGTGTTCCACCCTTTTCTTATTCTTCTAGTTACTTTAATCTTGTGGTTCGGCTCCGCGGTTATTACCTGCCCTAAATAGACATAGTCTTTTACGTGCACTATTACCTATCTCGAAGTGCTGCTCTCTTCCAAGGTTGTTGTACATTACTTTCATTTTATGCAGATTAATTTTAAGACCCACCTTTCTGCTCTCCTTGTCTAACTCCGTAATCATGAGTTGCAATTCGTCCCCTGAGTTACTAAGCAATGCAATGTCATCGGCGAAGCGCTGGTCTCACTAGCAATCAAAATAGGTGTCACTGACAGTCACATACCCGCAGCGTCACCAGGTGGCGCTACTGACTAGATGGTGCTTGAAGGCGCCCTGTGACACTTTGGGGACAGCCTTATTTAGCACAGGAACGCGCTTATCGATGATTACTTAGACGAATGCAACAAGAATTATGAAAATTGGTGCACAGAAAGTGAAGTTATGAGTCCTCAAAGTTTGAAACTTGAGCAGACGACGAGGAGAAAAGTTTTCTTTCGCATTTCACTCGCCTGCTGACGTCAAAGATCGCTTCCAATCACAGTGCGCGTCTCATAAGGACATTCTGGAAATGTCACCTCATGGTGGCTTTCACACAATACCTCGCTACCGCTCTTTTTGACAGCGTTGTTGGCTTGATTACTACGAACCACGTGTGTCGGGTAGCAGACACTCGCACGGTAACACTGTGTAAGATACACACATACGTCTTGAGTGGAGTCACTTCTCAGCTTGCATACAAGACGGGTTCTACGGCAACACCGGGGCCCACCGCCTGTCGCATTTTTGTCTAGCTAAAACTGTGGCATGCGTTTCCACTTATAGTGTGTGGCATACCATAGCCTCATTCGCAGGCTAAGTGTTGTGTTCGTTGTTCTCAAGATACATCATTTAGAAACAGAAATGATTTCTTTCTGAGAAAGTATAAAAAAGGTTCTTGCTCTTTTTAGCATTTACTCGTGTGGCCTAGCTACCACCATATGAATATTGCACGCTCTATCTCGCGTCAAGCCAATCGAAAGCGAACAGTGTTTGTCATCACATCACATGACATGACGTTGCTTCCCATGACAAAATAGGCGATGTGTGTCGCCGTAGTCTGAAATCAAGGTAGTTTGTCCCGTGGATTAAAATTATAACATCGGTGATTCCGGCGTTGCCATATGCGCGTCGATATCGGTGCGTTCCACAGCACCAGAAGAACCGATGAAATCTACATGCTTAAATAGTGTCACAGGGCCCCTTTAAAGGGGCCCTGTAACATTTTTCTAATTAGCCACAAAATAGATTCACTAAAGGAGCTTATTGGCTCACGATTTCACTGCCACAAAACGGTTCAGAATCTGTCCAGTATGAGCCAAATTAAAGATTTGTTGCAAGGTGCAATTGCATTTCATTCGCTCTTCTCTCGTCCCCACGGAAGCGCTGGAAGCAAAGCAATAAGAACAGCCAGTGACGTGATCGTATCACCCAATAGCTGATACTTAGCCTGAGACATGGTGATTTTTGAGCCTGTGGGGTCATTTACTGAGAGACGAGAAAAGATTTTTAGCTGACTTTAAAGACCGCATGCTGCACTATGATATCTTGCTGGTGTGTTCTTGGTAGCTTCAACTGCCGACTGGCAGAGTTTTTTGACCGTGCTCAAAAAGTTTTGCGGCGCCCCCTTAAACAAAACATCAACATTGAGGCCAGCACATCGAGGTTAATATTACAGCTCCAAGCTCCGAGAAGGTACTAAATGAAAATGTCAGAGGTGGTGGGCCTAGGCCTGCGCTGGAGTGACAATCATCGGGTGCATATTGACTGTGTATTATTTACTTATGTCATCCGCATGTCGTGTGCATGTCGTCTGTGTGCTGCTTTCAAGAAGGGAAGCAATATCATTGCCAGTATTGTGACCTTGCCGAGATTTTCATTCATGGTACATACATTCACTAATATGCTCAAACTTTGGCATATCGAACCAGATATAACGAAGTAATTGAAAAATAGTCTTGCAATAAATATAGTTTTAGGAGTATACCTTTATAACGAATTATCTGATATAGCGAACTTATTTTTTTGTAAGATGCAACTTTGTTATAATAAGGTATGAGTGTAGTGAACACCAGCTAAACTGAGATTTTTTTGCAGTTGATCTGTTTTGTCGCACTTTGAGAGTGGTCGAATTGGTGGAACACGCAGAGTGTACGCCCGTCAACTGCGGAGGGGCCACCTCCGCGGCGTTCCCGTCCTGTTCGTGCCGGGCAATGCCGGTAGTTACCAACAGGTGCGGTCCATCGGCACCGTGCTGCTGCGCAAGGCCGAGTTCGAGGGACTGCCGTACCGGTTCGATGTGTTTGCCACTGACTTTCAGGGCGAGCTATCGGGTCTGTACGGGCCGCTGCTGCGGGACCAGATCGGTGCGTTGTGGCTTTTTCTTTTAATAGATCGAAATTTCATTTTCTGAAGCTCCATATGCTGTGTTTATTCTGCCCTATGGTTTATGTCGCATTTTGGATTTGCACTTGCTCTATTGAATTATGTATAACATTACCTAGTGACTTTTGGGTGGGTGCAGAAGTTCCTGTGCGAGGTACGTGGCTGCATTACATATTAAATGTGTGGATAATTGGCACAAAAAAAACCCCTTATTTGTGCTATATTTGAACAATTGTATTTTTTTATTTCATAGAAAGCACAGCGTAAATGGGTCAACCTATATGTCTTCTCACACTATTTTAGAGTAAACACAGTATGTAATGTTGGGGCATTAAAGCCTAACAATTGTAATCATTTATATTACAGTATGTAGTTGCAGTTGTGATGTAACGGCAGCAAGAAAACTAGAAGCTTGAGTAAAGCGTCTTTAGCAGCGTGCTATCTCAATCGAAGCCCTTCAGATGGTTACTCTGCTCAAACGTCCTGGTGTTCGCCTTTGTCTGGACATTGCAGGCTTTCTGCACGAGTGTGTCCGCACCATCCGCAACCTGTACAAGTCAACGCCCAATGCCAGCCTGGTCATCCTCGGTCACTCCATGGTTCGTACTCCTCTCCCGTTCACGTGACTGCATCAGTGAGCTTCATCGATTTACCAAGTCCCGGACCACTCGCCGCCGCCGGCCCGCGGACGCCTCAGCTCATAGGCGGCTATGTCACATGCATGTGATTCAAAAATCCCGAGCCAGTCCGAGCGGCCCAGGGTCATCTGTGCACTTGATACGGTTTTCGTCCGCTTTGGCATCTGCTATGCCGTCTGTTCTAGTCTGCTCCGTTCATGGCAGCGACACAAGCCACAACGCCCGCCCAATTCCGACTTCAACAGTAGTTAGATAATTAATTATGCCTATTTCCGTTGTGATGCAACTTGCTGTAAGCTGCTCGAGCACACACTCTTGGTAGACTCGCGTGATCGTTCCACGGCTCTTTTTCCTGGCGTGTATAATGCGTGTTTGCCTGGCCTTCGGGAATACACACACACTCGACATGGCTCAGAACACCCACAAAAACTGGGTGCGCAACACAATGTGGAATCCAGAAACGTGCAAGAAGCGGAAAGAAAAATGAAGAGAGAGCAGAAGCGCATCGAAAATTTCTCGTGTCTAACTTAAGATGGCCGTACAACCATGCGCACCGGGCCGCCGTACGTCGCCAGGCACGTGAAAAACGAACATGCATCTGAGCGGTCCCGGACCAGTGGGTGTAGCTTCCGATTAGTCCCCCGAGAAAAACGAATGTGCCACTGGCGTCCATCCGGGACGTGTAATTCGAAGAGGCTCAGTGTGTCGTGGCATTTGAGATCAGAGAAGAGCTCACAGGGTGAAACATTGTTTTTCTATTAAGTGCCTTCATTAGCATACTATACTTAGATCACGTGGCGTGCGAAATGCTTCTTCCTTTTGTTTGCCACAGTGGTACAGTCTTTAGGTGCTCGACCGCTGACGTAAAGGTCATGGGTTTGAGACCCACCACGGCGGTCACACATCGATGGAGGCCAATGTACTGTGCGACGTCGGTGCACGATACCAGATAGTTGAAATTTCTGAAACCCTCCACATTTCTGTATATTTTTTTTTCTCTCCACATTTACACTACAATTCCTTCTAATAACATCCCCTATGCTTTGCTTGGCATCATTGTCTATAAGTTCTCATTCATAATCATATAATGGTTTTCGCATTCAAAACCCTAATTCATAATAATGATAATTATTGTTTATTGACATTTGAGAGAGCAACACCGTGATACAAAATTGGCCTGCCAAGTATTGTTATTATTACCTAAACAAGTCTGGGAATGTGTGTAAAATTCGAATACATTTTTGCGTTCTTAAAGCAGCACCATACTTTTTTTTTATAACGAACAATCACACGTACGAACACTTGACTGCATGCAGGGAAAACGAGCCCTGAAAATTCCCCTTCTTTCATTCATTGACTGCATGCTGCTTATTTCTCCACTGTACGCTCTCTTCACGGCATTACAGAACCATGCAACTACCTTGAAGCTTACTGAAGCAAATCCATCATCGAAGAACACGAATAAAATTTTTGCTTATATTTTATTTATTTACTTATTCCTCAAAGATCCCATTATGGCATCACTTGAGGGGTGGACATCAAAATACAAATCAAAAGCAAACGCGAAAAAATAAAACAGGAAAGCACGAACAGATAAGAACAGGACTTATCATTACCTTTGTAATTCTAATTTTCTTGCCATATCTTGCATTGTCACACGAATTCAGCGCACCATTTGACAGCCATTTTAAAAAACAGTGACATTTTGTTGGCACAGATATTTTTGATGATGTAAGTGTTTTTGGTTGGTTAGAAGATGTGCAATTACTGAGGCGTGCCTTGGCTCGGCATTTGAAATGAAATGCCGAATTGCATGCGAGTTTGCGTTGTAAAGTGTTTTATGCATAATAATCTGATTTCTAAGGGTAGTTCAGAACTGTTCGAAGCAGTAAATTATTTTATATGTTATTGCTGGAAAGAATGCCAGTGGGATAAGGGATTAAAGGAGTGGATGAGGAAGCCATAGAGCGGGAAACGGCTAAGCTAGTGGCAGCTGTAGTGCACACCTTGATTAATCAGCTAAAGAACAACGCTTATCGCATGTGAGCGCCACCCGGCATGAGTTGTATAGTTGGGACGATGCTAATGAAGGGCTTCTTGTTGTTGCTACGAGCCAAGCTCATGTCTTTGTTCCCCATCTCTGAACATCAGTGACCGTTATATTAAAGCAGTGCGAAGAGTGTATATCTTTCGTGTAACGAGTGCCCCATTACGACATACAGGCTGGCCTTACCAGTGCTGGCTGGAAACGTTCTCGACGAGTATAAAATGCCATTAATGCATTTTTTTCTCAGGGTGCAGCATTGTTACGACACAGTTTAAAACTGTATTTCACCTGTTCACAACTTTATTCTTCTCCCCATTGTCATGGTCATCGTAATTGTCACGCTTGTCATTGCAGGGTGGTATGGTGGCACGGTCCCTGTTCACGCTGGACGATTTTGAACCCGACAGCGTGTCCCTGATACTGAGCTATGCCACACCTCACCACAGCGCCGGTGAGTTTGTGAAACGCTCGTTGTGATTGCTGTTTAGGCTAGATTAGATCGAGGCAATCCTATTCGTGTGATCACCACACGGGGCAGTCAGAACCTTGGGCATTCTGTTTAATGTTAGTACAACATGTTCTAACATTATGGTGTTGCACTCGTCCTGTAGTGGCTCTCTCGTTCATGTCGTCTAGTATTGTGATACATACTCAAAGACTGGGTGTGTCAGCATGAACGCTAGAGAGACGTTACCAACGCTGACTAAAAACTGCAAAGGTGCACTATGTCAGAAAAGAAAGAAAGCAAAAAGTTTACACGTGCCTATTTGTTAAGCGATTATTATCAATACAGCACACGTGGTGCTCTATCTAAAAGGTCAACTGTTGAGGCATCTGATTTTTTATTTGTGCAAGTTAATCGGCAGTTGGCTCATGCCAAAGTAATAATCGCGTACTCTCATAATAATCGTTGTCACTGCAGAGCCACCTCCTTCATATTACTACTGAAAGCATTTTTTAAGGTGGCAATATTGAAACTATATTCACTTCAAACCCAGGCACCAGATAATCTTCCTACGTTTTTGACAACAGTGTTTTTATTTACAAAAAACTCAGGTAAAGCATCAAGCTTAGACTGATAAACTATATACTGCTAAACTCTACGGTCATTATTTTGCTATCATAGAAGTTAATTTCCTCTTTCTCGACTAGCTTCAACGATAGCTAAGGAGGGAAGGTGTTTGAGGTTCGGATTGGGTGCCCCTCGATGGCTCGAGTGCTCGGTAGTAGCGCAAAGGAAGAGTTGTTTTCTGATGAAGAGACGCTTTATTGCAGCACTCGGGCATTTGACTTGGTCCAAGCCCGAACCTCATTTCGCATCCAAACATCCTCTTTTCAACCCTTGGTTAAACAAAGGTTGTTAAAATGAGCCGATCCCACATGTGGGTTCACGTCACTGTAACCAATTGCAGGAACACTTTCATAACTGACACCGCATTGGTAAAAAGCATGTTTCGAAATACAACATGCGAGGGGGCAGGTTTTCTGCGCAACACGTGTTGTCCTACTCTTTCCCATGTTACTCCGTGTATCGGCCAACATCCGCTTGTAGCCGTTCCCGCTACATCGGCTTGCGCGCTAAACGTCGCTTTGTAGAAGCCACTCTAAACGCTGTGAGAACGTTATCAGGCCTTGTGCATTGACATTGTGTACATGCGACAGTGAGGTGCCGCGCCATCCCGAGAATACTCGGTAATGACCCGTAGCTGAGGGCAAGCTCGTCTGCATGCTTCGAGGGCCGTATTGTCACCAAAAGGGTAAATGCATAGCCCTAAACCATGTCTCAGTCGGCCCAGTGCTCCAAAGCTACTTCGGCATCCTTAGGCATTCTCAAACGGCACACCTGAATGCTATACAATCAACTTGAAACCAGACGACCGCTCGCCGCCTGGTTCTTGTGAGACACGCTTTTCAGACGGCTCTCCCCTTTTGTCGTGACTGCCCATCAGCCACGTGAGCAACTGAGTCGCCTTCCTTTCCCATGCGCGGGTCTTTCGCGTCCCCCTTCGCAGAACAAGGGAACTTGCTCGGCGCTCTACAGCACCCCGAACACAGAGTGCCCCACAGCAACACGCCGCTTTGCGTAGCTCATACGAACTATAAGTTTATTAATAGATGACAAAACTGATGTGAAAAGTTTCATTGTTAAATTTTCCATCAAAATTTTCCACCAAAATGGTGACGTCATGGATTTCAAAGTGACCTATAGTAATTGAGACGTCCCCCGCTACACCACCGATCGCCAAAGAGAGGGAAGAACACTCAACCCTTTTTCTATCCGGTTCCCTCTTGGCTACGTGTCTCAATCACTTTCAACATACAGGGATTCGTGCTGGGGCCGGGAAGTAAGAGACGCTACGCCATGTTCCTGTTTACTGATTCATTTAATATATTACTAACTGCAGACATCGTATACGCGCGTACATCAACCACTACACAAAAATTATAACATATGATTTACACACTCGCGAAGTGCGACGCAGGATACATAAGGGAAACAACTTGGACAATAAAGTGATGCGACGATACAAAGTAGACGCATCACGACACAAATGGTAAAGTCATTAATGAATAAAACCCCGCAATGTCTCAACACGCCACCTCCCTTTCCGCAAAGCTAATCTAAATAAGATGCATAAAGTCCGTCTCACGAAAGGTCCATGTTGACGGGGGCCTCGGAGCTGGCTGTTCGAGTTGGGGCTCAGGGCTTCTTCCTGGGGTCATTGTCTGATTCGTCGGCGCCTTCATAGTCTTCGTCATCGTCGCCTTCGTCGTGCCTCTCAGAATGCTCCATTCACTCGCCTCCTATCCCCAACTTTCATTCCTCATCGTACCGTCCTTGCCCCTGTCACCATCTCATCGCCCCTCTTCGCTATCTCTTCGCACCGTTATATTCCTTTTCCGTTCTGTCTCTCTACCATCTCAATCTCAACGCTCCGTCTCTCTGACTCTCAAGCTCATCGCATCGTATCTCTCCGACTCTCTTCGCATTGTATCTCTGACACCCCTTCGCATCTTTCTCGTAGTCCTTTTTTGTAGGACCTGACTCCGCCCTACCGGGGCACCAAACCAATCGCCACTATCGACGCGGCGTATTTTCTTCTCAGTCGGAGTGTATCATCTTCGGCGGCCGCCCCCGCGGCCTACACCAGTAGAAAACCCTCTCCCAAACAAAGCCGAGCAAGTAACAATGTACAAACTCAAGCCTCAGGGAGAGTGATGGGCGAGCCGTCCGAAGACACTTTAATTACGGGCGAACAATGGTCCCAATGTTTCCGGTACTTGGTGAGCCGATGTCCAGACCAAGTCTCAACCTTTCCATGCAGCTCGGTGTCTCCCGCGAAATTCTCCGTAGCCGCCGCTTCTTCATCATTCTCTGCCGGGGGGGCCATTTGCGCAGAATGCACGGAACTTGCTGGCTCACAAGTCTGGTAAACTTTACAAAACTTATTAATGATGACTATGTGAAATTTGTTAAACTTTCCACCGATGAACCATGTATGTAATTCAGCCGCTATGTGCTCAATGTGTGTTGAGACTTGGTTTGTTAAGCGCCTCATGATAATTTACTTCTCTTTTACTACTTTTAGAAATGGCGTAGGTCTTAGAAGGATGCCATCAAAATCTATGGCATCACGGTATCTGGTTTGAGAACTTCAAAGTAGGGTCAACACTGTCATTTACTTTTTGCACATTTTCTCTCCAAGCGTTTTCTTGCAGCAAACATTGCATTTTTGATATCAAGAAATAGTAATTTTACTAATGCGTGAAGTATTGTTTCTTCTCTTCAGCATCCCTGTAAAATCATACCGAAAATATGCAAAAATGTGTGTCAGTATTCCATTGAACTCTTTGTGTTGCCCATATTATGCAGCCATCTTGGACTCTCACCTAGACGCCGTGTACGCGAAAATACGGAAAACATGGTCGCCGCCGCGGCAACCCGTGATAATGGTCTCGGTTGGTGGCGGGCGTAGAGATACCCTTGTCCGCAATGAGCTCACCCGGCTGGAGCCGCACCCATACCACATCAGCACCACGGTACGGACTCGACATGGGGGTTGTCCTCCGTATTATTCCGTATGTCTGTAACGGGTGTTCTGCTCTCTTGTACTGTTCAGTTGGGCTAGTTCACCACGTTTCGAGAACTCCTCCAAATTTTCGTTTTATCGTCATCTGCAGTTCAGGTGGAGCTCAAAGGCTCGGGTTCGATTTTTGGCATTCGAGTTCTGATGAGATTTAATGCAAGGAATACTCGTGTCTGAAATTTAGGCACACGTTAGAATCTTTAGGCTGTAGAAATAAATTGTTTAGCCACCGCAGTGTGCCTCATAATGATATTATAGTTTCGGCACCTGCAAACCCAGGAATGCTAGGCCGTTTTAGAAAATGGTACCCAAATGTAGCGTCGGTTGGCTACATGCGCTATTTGCATCACTTGACGTGGTTGCGCAAGAAGATTGAACGGGAGGCATGAGCAGTGGCAACGAATGCTATCGCAGAGCTTGGCATGCGAGGCAATAATTAATATTATCCAGTCCAGGTCACTTTTCACTTGTACATGTCCTTATATAACACAACTCAGTGTTCCCCTTAATTAAAAAAAATAAAGCGGGTGCAATGGAAAAATGATGCCTTTTGTAATGCCAATGCATTTTGTGTTCTTGAGCTTGGCCAGTAGTCGCAGCAATGGTTTGGCAGCGTTATCTGTGGGATCAGCCAGTTGCAAGTGGCGGATGACAAGAGCAGCATAGACTAAGGACTCACTCTGTGACAGCATCCCAGGGCATGAATAATAGTTTGCCTTTAGTTTTCCTGATTCGTAAGTGGCTTGAACTGCACTGTGCCTGCATTGTCATTATGAGTGGCAGATGGTAACAGATAGTAATTCAACAGCGCTAAAACAATTGCTGTGTCAAACGACGTAGTTTAGCCCTGAATTGCGGCCCAAGTTAAAGTTGGCCAAGCAGAATGCTTCTCCCAGTGTAGCAAGTCCTGGGGATCTTTGTTGAGCAGCAATTCAGGCTGACTTTCATGCTCTGGAATTCTAAAGTCCTTAGTTGAAAACTGCAGTGTTTAAATTCAGGTAAATACGCTTCGCCAGAAGATGAGCTTTCATCACAAGTTTCTACTCTAACATATATATATTTTGCTGTTTCGTTGGGCATTTATTCCAATCCGTCAGCTGTTTTTTTATATGGGTGGCACGTAGAGGTAATTGCAGCACCAAAATGAAGTTTTCATTGGTTAACAAATCGAATAAAATTTATGAACTTTTCAAAGTCATCTGTGCTTCCTGTTCTTGTCATGCTATATATTCATTGTTTTTGCAGAGCACGGCTGTTCCTGGGGTCTGGGCCTCTGCAGACCACTTGACAATTGTGTGGTAAAAAATAACATTCTTTTGCCTTCTAAACATTGAAACATGTGCGCAGCTCTTATACTGTGCTCGCTTTGCTCTATTTACTTTTATCCTTTGGTGCAGGTGTCAGCAGTTGGTGGTGACCTCAGCGAGAGCTTTGTTCGATCTAATTACTCGTCAGGGTCACCAGGCAAGTGGCCGCATGGTTTTATAATATGCACTTTGCAAGAGTTGCGTGAAATCAGCGACTCATTTTTATGTGAACATCTAATAAACATACCCGTAGGTTTGGGCAATAAAAATTACTGATGTCATGCCTTAGCCTTCTTTAGTAGCACGGGAAAAATAATCTCTAAAATGTAGCATAATCCAAAACCTTTCTTAAAGCAGAATAAGCGCGGTAGGTCTTCGCAGGGCATGTAGGTAATGCGAAGACCTTTGCGAGCATGTGGAAAAAGACGTGTTCAGGTTTGTCAATGAAGAAAGAAAAGTGATAAAAAACCACTTCGAAAAAAGCTCCATCAGGCATTTGGTTGCCTGTTTCAAGAAGCAGAGTGTAAGCCTCATAAGTAATTGACATAAAGCTTACACGCCTGCAGCTGACAGTCACTTATTAGGAAGCTCCTGCTTCAAACTTTCTCAGACGAAGTTCGTTATGACTCACAGATTTTGGTGGCAGCATTGTAAGCGAAAAAAATCAACGCTGCCGTGGATACAGAAATGCTCTCCTCCCTGGTTGAGGCCCTTAAAGGTTACGGCTTTTGAAGGTTATGGCTGTGAAAGGTTACAGCCCTCAAAGGTTACAGCTGTTAAGGGATACATCTTTTAAAAATTAAACCCCTAAATATTACGGCCCTTAAAGATTATGCCTCTTGAAGGTTACAGCTAGGCTTGTGCGAATATTCGAACGAATAGGTGAGTATTCGAATTCACTTCGATTAGAATTTAAATTATTGAATATTTTCGAAGTATTTGCAATAAACAAATAAATGTACATTAGTTCGCCTGTAAAGATGGTTTCACTGCGATGTAGTAGTGCAAAGCCGTGAAAGCACCTACTTGAGAGAAATTTGCTTTGCCGCAAAGCCCCCCTTCAGATTTAAAGGGGCCCTGCAACACTTACTGAGCATGGTCAGAAAACGCTGCCAATCGGTAGTCGATGCTACTGAGAACACGCGAGGCAAGTATTACAGCGCAGCACGTGGCCTGAAATTCACAATGAATTTTCAAATCTAAAAATTGCTCTCTTCCCTCGGCAAATAACACTACAAGCTCAAAAATCACTTGTCACAGCCAAGAAAGGAAATGCGGCTCTGGTCACAGTCATTGGCTGATTTGAGCATGGCGCGCTCGTCGTTATCCGACCGCCGCGTGAGGCCGCCGCTTGTCCACAAGTACGTGCACGATCGCACTGAAAGGCCTCGTATTCGAAGAAAAAAAGAGACAGAAAAGATGCTCAAGGTCACTAGGCGCTCATGATGTTTTTTCTTTTCCTGTGCCATCCTTCCCTACTTAACTTCCAGCTCTTTTGACGGGTCGAGAATGGAGAATGCAATTGCAGCATGCAACAAGTTTTTGGAACTCCACTCCTACTGGACTGATTCTAGAAACTTTGTGGCGATAAATATGTGAGGCGACAAGCATGTTTACTGGCTCCATGGATACTTGAAAAAGTGTTGCAGGGCCCCTAAAGGAACATGTTACCCTCAGATCAATCCTTCATTTTATTATGTTTGTTATGATGGTTTATATGATCTATGTATAATAAATTTTAAAACGTTATGTATTTACAGGTTATCACTCAGATCCTACCGAAACTACTAATCAAGGTTGTTTCGACTTCCTTTCATTGGAAAAAAAAGGCATTTGCATAGAGCCCCTATTTCAATTCAAAACAACTATCGTGCAGCTTAGTTAGGTTATGATAATTATTCCCTTTTTTTATGTCATACATGCTATTCAAGTTCGATTCGAAATTATTCGACCAAAATCACTATTCGCTTCGAATTCACTTCGTCCCTGAAATTCACTATTTGCACAAGCTTAGCTACAGCCCTTAGGGGTTACGGCTCTCAGATGCTACTGTTCTCAAAGATTGCGGTCCTTGAAGGTGATTACGACTCTTTCAGTAATTCCCTGCTTGCTGTTTACTCAGATTGCACAAGTGTGCTGCAACCGACAATTTCCTCTCTTCATTTGTGACCCTGCAAAACAGGTCAGGCTGACCAAAGATCGGGAGCGCATAAAGGCGGTGGTTGACTTCCACTTTGTCAAGCGACCGTATGGGAAGCAGCTTCCAGAGGAACCTCCCAGTAGTCAGCCCATCTACTTCGGCTCCAGCGGCGAGTGGTCAGACCACATCGAACGCTCCTGGCGCGTTCACAAACAGAAGGTGGGTTCAGCGACATCCTCTTTGGAGAAGTAAATGAGTCTATATTTATAAACTTTGCTCTTGAAAACATAATGTCGTTCATTTCACCATCATAGCTTCAATAATAGATGACAAAATCATGGTCAAAGTTTCCTTTGGAAACTTTGCACCGACAACTCTGCACATGATGTCATAGGTTTCAAAGTCATTTTGGCGACAATGGCCCAACAAAATCTCCTCAAACTTGGTAGGTTCGTCTACATTCTATTCAGAGGACAACAAGTGCTATGTATGCCATAGTGAATGCTGTCTAAATTTATGATGTCATGACGATCGGTTTGGGAATTACAGTGATGTGTCCGCACTCACATTCTGTTTTTTGCATGTGTTCTCTCTTAAATAAAGTTTGGCTCGCATGTTGACAGGAGCCTTGACGACAGTGTTTTCTGACCTTGTTCAAAAGTGTTGTCGGACTACTTTAATTATTTAGCACATAATTGATTGATTTATTGATAAAATAATTGGTTGTCTAATTTAAGAGGCAGGTGATTGTTTTATTGCTCACTTGAGAGACAGGTGAAGTTCATGTGCATGTGTGTGATTGTCCTGCAGGTGCTGGTGTCCCGTTGGCTGGTGATGCCCGTCAGGGAGTCTGACTACGTGGTGCTGCGGGCATCGGGTCTCGTAAGGCACGCAAATGGCCACTAGTTGGCATTTTGTTTCTGCTGACCGCTAGATGCCTTTTCTTCTCGAACTTTTGCAGGGCAACAAGGAGTGGCTGTATGGCTGCACAGCTGTGCATAAGGAAGCTGCATCAGGCAAGCTGCTCTGGTAAGAAATGGTTATCAGATCAGTCAGCAGGAAGTTGTCAGTCAGTTATGGAACAGTCCTATTTGAGGTGAAGCGTTCGTGGTGAAGTCATATTTGTGGGGAAGGATTTCTGGTAAAGTGGTATTCGTGGTGAAGCATTACGAAGTGTGTAAACTGACCTTCGGATGAATTTTCTATGAATTGTTAAATGGGCCATGATGCTTAATTTTTTGTTGTTATCTATTCTGTGATGAATAAAGAGACAGGTTAATCCTCGACACTGTAAAGCATTGCTTGATTTTCAGGTTAATCTGTGGTGTACTTGTTGCCCCGCCGCGGTGGTCTAGTGGCTAAGGTACTCGGCTACTGACCCGCAGGTCGCGGGTTCGAATCTTGGCTGCGGCGGCTGCATTTCCGATTGAGGCGGAAATGTTGTAGGCCCGTGTACTCAGATTTGGGTGCACGTTAAAGAACGCCAGGTGGTCGAAATTTCCGGAGCCCTCCACTACGCCGTCTCTCATAATCATATGGTGTTTTTGGGACGTTAAACCCCACATATCTATCTATCTATCTGTGGTGTACTTGTGGCTACTTGTTGACAAACTCCTTGATTTTATGGGTGCAGTGTTTGGGGAGTTGGTTTTAACTCGTGGTGTAATTAGCCACTAAAACGATTGCACAGTCCTCTGGTTTCTGGTTCTTTTGTCGTCTTTTTCGTGCCTTTTATACATTATGATGATGTGTCGACAAACTTGCAGCTGCATTTGTGGTGCATTTTTAACCAATTTGTTGCTGAATTTATGGCCAACTTGCGAGTTCATGATACATTTGTGATGTAGTGTTATCTATCATTAAGGTGTATCTCTGCGAAGTAATAACTGAATTATAGGGAAATTTGCAAGGCGTGTGAGCAGATGTTCAGGTGCACTCCTGCCGTTCTTTCTCCCTCCACAGCACGATGGGTGTGAGTCTTTCCCGGGAAGGCGTGACGCTCCCGTTCGAAGGCAGTTACGGCATCGAGCGGCGGGGCTTCACTGCACCCGGTGCCGAGTTAAGGGCACGTGGCTTCAAGGCCCTGGTGGTGCATGTCCGGCCCACTACGTCCAAGGCAAGCCAGTCCAAGCCTGTTGCCGATTCTCATGCTTCATAGCTCAATGTGATGGCTTGATTGAATGCTCTTTGTAAGCACGGATGGTTCCATCTGTGCGTACAAACAGTGGGGACAAGGATATTTTTTGAAATTGAATGGGCTGTAGTTTAGTTACAAAGTGTACTCAATTGTAGTGCGGTTTGCGGCAAAGCATTCAAAATGGATGAAAATGTGATGGTTTATCTCGGTTTTTTATGTGCAATACCAAAAGAAAAATGGAAGTACGAAAGTCGTGAGATGCTATACAAATGCTCTTAGTTAATGATGATGCAGCAGGGGCACTGTTTATGTACTTAGCACACCTTAGGCGTGAGAAGGCTGTCTCATTGAACTTGTTTCTGTAACGGAAGCAAAAAAAAAAAAAAAAACTAACTTGAGGCAGTTGGTAACCCCTTTAATATGGTGTGCGATGTTGTGCACAGTTTGTTAGAGAACAGATTGCGATGCCGTAAGAGAATCAGAGGGAGCACATAGCCAATAGGCAAAGGGGAAGCACCCCGTAAGATTCTTGACGCAATTTTCCTGGGCACTTCCCCTTTGCCTTCGATTATATTAGCATGAATAACGCAATATCTGATACAAACTAATAATGCAGTATTTGAATTTGCTTTGAATGTAATTTAAATTATTGAAGAATTCAAATAATTTGAAACGAACGAATAAATGCACACAAGTCCTCATGTGACACTTTGTAAAGGTGGTTTTATTGCAGTGTGGTGGTGCTAAGCCGTGAAAGCACCAATTTAGGTGCATAATGTTCACATGTAACTGCTCTGTAAAAGTAGTTTCACTGCAGTGAAGTGATAGTAAGCCATGAAAACACCTAATTAGGGTAAATCTGCACCGCTGCGAAGCCCCACTTCAAAGTTAATTGAGACTGTACTTTCACATCAATTAACTTTCTTAAGTTTAAAAGGTTGTTAAACCGACTCATAGGCTCCAAGCATAGCAAGTTTAAAAAATAATGTAGTTTACAGGCTATCACTTGCATTGTAGTCAAGTGATAACCACGGTTTCAGAAGTCAAATCCTGCTACTATTCAATGTTTTTTATGGTTTTTTTTAAGCAAAAATGTGGCATTTGTACAGGCATTGCTTCAGTTTTTAAAATATAGTGTGTACATTAATTAGGTCATGACAAATATGCTATTTTTCTTTGTAATACACACACACACATGCTATTTGAATACGTTTTGAAATTATTCGACCAAAACCACTATTCGCTTCGAATTCGCATTGAACCTAAAATTCACTATCTCCAGTCGCTTACTGCTTGGGGAATTTAATAAATTCAGAAATGCTTTGAAGAAACGAGGAAATATAGAACTATTATAGCTGAACTAATATTCGAGAGCATTGTTTCTCAGAGCTTGAAATTGAAGAGTTTTCATTATTGTCTTAATGGGTGCTAGGTGATATCGCAATTATTTGCATTAATATCTTGATTGGGCGCTAGGTGACGTCGCAATTTCACAAGACAAGGAGTGGTTGCACTGGTGGCCATTTTCACACTTTGTCGGCATGCAATTGGACTAAGCCAGACACAAAGCTGGCTAACTTGCTTGTTCTGCTCGAGCAATTACATTTCGATCCAATCCAAGTCATCCGGTGACTGTTCTATGTTCCATCAGACAGACAGGTGGCTCCATAATACATTGCGTGTCAACTCTTGCCCAGCCGATGACAAAATGATAGACAGTGCTACCTTTTAAAACTGCTGTTCTCTCGTTTTGGCTGCCAGTCGAGCCTTGACCGATTTCGTTCGATGTGCTAAAACATTTGATCACAAAACGTGTACAAAATTGCGCCCTCAATAGGCTAGAAATGTGACCGCAGGTGATTGTGGTGGGAGAGCGTCTGCGGCCCTCCGAGCGGTGGCGAGACGTCAGGCTACCCCCGTGGTGGGGCTTCTCTGAAGTGCTGTTGACGGTGCCGCTGACCGAGGGTGCGGCCTTCTACAACTTGAGCCTGCACGGCCTGTGGCACCCTTGGCAGGCGTATCGTTTAACACTGCAGACCAAGGTGTGCCGCACGGGAACTCAAGGTGAGGCTGTTGTTGCCCATCATTGGCCTGTCTTAACGTTGAATTCCAATGCGGATGTGGAGTGGTCAGTTCACTTAACGAGCATCCAGTCGAATCCGCAAGCCGCCAATTGACCGTGTTGGTGGCCAATCGAATACGCGAATGAGCGTTCGACTCTTGCATTGAGCACACTTTCAAATTTACGAGTGGGATGCAGATTCTCTGCACTGGAGCGAAGTAAAGGTCACAGTTACAATGATTTCCTGTTTGTGGTCATTCGCTTTTGCCATTCGCTCCCACCACTGGCCGCTTATGTCCGGTTGGCACCAATTATCAGCTTTTTGGTGCCGTGAAGTCTCAAAATGCCTTCTATTGACATGGAGTAAAGTAGCAAATTCTGCTAGTTAATACTCTCAGTTGTTAGGTGGCGCCTGTACTGTGCACTTTCTTGTGTTTCTTGTGCTTTTTTGTGCGCTGATTGTGAGGAGTGTTGACATGGAGTCTGCTTTGCTGGTACAGGGGTTGTGGTGCTCGGCTGTCCACTCTAAGGTTGTGGGTTTGACCCCTGCTGCAGCAGTTGCTTTTCAGTGGAGGTGGAAGGCTGGAGGCTTGTGTTCTGCATGATGTTCGTGCACTTAAAGATCACCAGACTTTCGAAAGTTCGTGCACTTAAAGATCACCAGACTTTCGAAACTTCCCAGAGCCCTTCGCTATGCCATGGCTCATAGGGATACTTTAGTTTTGACCTGTAGTACCCTAGATCAGTGGTTCTCAGCCATGGATGTGTGGGGGCCCCTTGTGGACTGGTGGAAGAGATGGGGGACCCCTTGCAGCGGAGGGTAAGAAAGGGGGGGGGGGGGGGGGGGCATGTAGGTAAATTAACACAACTGGAGCGTGAAGCAGGTGCCTTTTATTGCTACCAAAAACATCAAACGTGCCACATCACTTCATTTTGGACAGTTCATCAATGCGTGGCACAGTCTCGCGGATCACAAAAATGGCTTCACGGACCACCTGGGATCCGCGGACCCCCATTCGAGAACCACTGCCCCATATCATAAGATTACTGCCGTCATAGACGCCCCGCCAGGTCTTTCATCCCTGCTAAGAAAACTGCCGCCTGCCACGGTGCTCCCGAGCAGATACACCCACACAAAGAAATGCTTCGAAAAGCTTTCTAGCTGACTCCCCTGATTTTCACGAAGTGACATTTCTGGTTTCTCGGAGTGACCGTGCAATGAATCCCTCTCCGACTATCTCTCTGGGATGCTTGACTCCCACGTCATTGCTTTTGTTAGCACTGAGTTGCTCCGAAACAAACAAAAAGCTCGTTCCGACATCCGTCATCGGAATTCCGCGTTACAGTGAAGTAGTTCGTTTCTGTGTGTGCAGCTGTGCCGTCACTGATGTGTTTTGTTCTTTCTTGCCCTTTCTTTCTTGCACGAAGGTGACGGCTTTGTCCGGTTCCTGGTCCCCTGGGGCCTGGAGGACCTGTTCTTTCACATCCAGTACCACGTGTATGCAGGCACTGGTCACCTTGTTTTTTTTTTTTTTTTTGCACTGTTTGTGTTGTTTATGTTATTACTCGCACTTACTTTGAAACATTTGTAGCACACGGTGCTGCAAATTCTCGTGAAATGAGACCTAGATGGGCTAGAAAATTATGTTCTGTTTATTAGGAGTTTTGTTTACTGAAAAATATCCGTAACGATGCTGCGCTCAAACACAAATCAGAATCACAGACGGTTGTTTCTTTTGAAGGGGTACTGACTAAAAAATTTTGTACTATTACTGTATTTTTTTAACATCGGATGGGAGACCAAGCCTTCCAAGAGAATAGAAATTGTGCTGGTTGGAGCGAATGTAACAGGAAACTTTATTTGGAATTTGTTTTTAACAGGTGGTTTAGGTTCCCACCGTGTGGCCCCACAGTTCTCACTGTGTGTCGTTACACGACGATATGAGGTTTTTCGTCGTGCCAAGTTTTGTGGCGTTTGCATACCTGCTTGACTCTGCACCTGTGTTGGTGGTGCACAAGTGGCCATGTTGGTCTGTTCTGGCTCCTGAGGTGGCCACAACCAGCCAGCCACACTTGTATTGGAAGTCACCCAGAATTGATACTGTAGCGTGACACCACGCTAGTGTTGATGTCAGTAGATTCGTTGAGCAGAAATTTACATTAAATATGAAAGTAATGCATCTTCTCTGCATTTATCAAGCTTCACACTTGCTCCTATTCTTTTCCATATATGGGAGATCCGTCTCGCCGTATAAAGTCAACTTCAAAAATTGGTGCCAGTACCCCTTTGAAAGCTATTTCTGTGTACCGATATTCTACACTATGAGCGAACAAAACCTGCAATGGTATTATATTAACATGATTGCAGGTTAACCCCCTCTACGTTGGATTTAAAATTTAAATAACATAGGTTGACCTACACTCGTGTGAATACGATACATCGGAATGTATGGAGTAATGCCGCTAATACCAAGAAACTTCTTTTTATTCATAGATAGAGCAGCCTCATTTCAATGGGGAACATGCATAAGTGCCTGCATGCATAGATTTAAACTTTCTTTGAAGAACCTCGCATGGTTAAAAATTAATGTGGAATGCTTTACTACAACTTGCATTTTAGTCTCAGCTTAGTATGCCAAGCCCCAGAATGCATTTCAAGTTATTGAAATTCTACTTCGTTGCCTTGCCTTGGTAGTCTAGCTGCTATGGTTTAACGACCCCAAACCACCAAATGATTATGAGAGGCCTTGTAGTGGAGGGCTTCGGAAATTTTGACCACCTGGGGGTTCTTTGACGTGCACCCGAATCTGAGCACACGGGCCTACAACATTTCCGCCTTAATCGGAAATGCAGCCGCCGGGATATGCGATCCCGTGACCTGCGGGTCAGCAGCCAAGTACCTTAGCCGCTAGACCACCACGGAGGGACAAGTTGCGTATGTGAAGAAGATGAAAAAGATTAAAAGAGAACTCAAGTCTTGATGTGCATCAAATAAATGAGACCTACACTCCTGTGTAGGTCTTATTTAATTATTTCGTTTATTTCAACACATTTCAGCCGTGAAGAGCTATTGCAGAAGTGGGACAGTAGCAAGTTCAAAGAAATTTGTGAAAGAAAACAAGATGCACTGAACATGAATATACACTCAAACCACATTATCATGAACATGGACATAACGATTTATCCGTTATAACAAAGTAAATGAAAGTTAGTCACAAATACAGTGTTACAGATAACAGCTCATAACAAATTTTCGAACGAAGTTATTTCGGGAGTGGATGCGAGTTTTTTTTTTAATGAGGTTTCAGTGTAAACAGATAGCGATTTCCAACGAGAATTCAGCTAGTGATGATGATGTCACGTGATTTTGCGCTGTCCGCTGTCGTAGGGGCTCGCGTCGCGGCCCGAAGGAGACACCGATGCTCGTGCACGTACAGAGCAATGCGGGGAGTAGTGACGGCCCACCACCACAGCTGCACCTTTACCTGGACCCCGAATGCAGCTACGAGCTTCGTGCTGAGGCCGCCTGGAAGACCAGCCTGGGACAGGTGGGTGCTTGTAAAGACTGAAGCTGCACGACAGATGAGCGACTGTTCTTCGTGTAGGGTACGGTCCAGCCTTTACGTAGTAAATACGGATGCAGTAATAGGTCGATGATTTTACCCTCATTAATAGGAAAATCAGCAAACTTAGATGTCTTCCCTGGTTCAGGCAAGTACGTAGATTACCCAATGGCATCAAACTCTCATGCTTTCGGTTATACTTGGCCATGACCCAGTTAATTCAGTCGATGCTCAGTGTGCGCCCAGCGTGAAGCACTGAATGTCTGACCCAAATTACCGAAAAAGAGCATTCGCGGTCGACCAAAACGAGACAGTGCAGGCAGCATCGCCTTCATCACCAGCACGAACCATATGGAAACAATTGAAAAGCCAGAACGCTGGACCGCTTCACGCCTTTTAATGTTCACCATCGCGTTGTCCGCGAGCCATCGGAAGGTTGCCATGCGCAGTCACGTTATTGGTGACCAAAGGCTTCGGCGGCTACGGAAAACTTGTTTCGTTTTTGTTCTTACGGGGTGCATGCAACGCTGCATGGGCGCTACTGATGACCGCATTGATAGGAACTGTGGTAGTGGCTGCAGCGACGAGCAGTAATTTCTTTTCGCTGCATGCCATCAAAACTGTTCTTGGTAGCGCATGAATGCGAGCAGCCAGTTGGTGCGCATCCAATGGTAAAAACAGCATAGAAGAAAAAAAAAACGCCAGGCGTGCGCGGAAGGCTCAGCACAGTCACAGCGAAAGCTAGAAGAGCGGCCTTTCAGAGCCTCTTCTAAACACTCATTGGGTAACTACTGAGAGCACACTTGCTGGATACCCACTAGGATATTAATAATAAAATTTTTTAGGTAGTAGATTGGCATTCGCTTGCTATTTTTTGTCATTCTTCTCAGAAGCGTGGTATCCGCTAAACACCTGCAAGGAGTTTTGTGCCAATTGTTCATGCAGTGGCTGAGAATGATGGGGAATTATGTATGAAGTGGGTATGTGCCAAAATTAATAGGGGAACAAAAACAAGCTTTTGTAATGAGTTGGAGCATTGGACGACCCACTCAATATGCTATTTGCATTGTGCGACTACTGGTTGTCACTCTTTTAAAACGCTTCATAAGCCGTATTAACGCGATTGCTTCCTGAACGTCAAGCTTGCCTAAGGCAATTTTGCCAGCAAGTCATGCACCAGCATGGCTCTGTGGTAGAATACTGTGTTGGCACCCAGTGGACCCTGGTTCGAGCCCCACTGTGTCATTGGTGCTAGGTTTTAAATACGAAGCATTTCTTAGCGAACTTCGACGACTTTGAGCGTATCTATCTATCTATCTATCTATCTATCTATCTATCTATCTATCTATCTATCTATCCTTATCTATCTAGCCACCTAAGACTTGCTCTTCTGGCTGTTTCGATAATGTTATCGATACCAAACTCGGTATGGCATAACATGACTGAAGAACTTATCTGACTAGTCATAACATGAAAATCATGACATCTATGTCATGAATTTTATGATTTACATTTCATGGTGCTCTTGGGGTGATTTCGTTCAGATGGCATGTTGCAAAGCTGGTATGGAACGGCATGATTGCATGGTGAACACAAGCGACAGACCCTAACATGAAAATCATTACATTCGTGTCATGTAACAACATGACTTCATGCCACGCTCATGATGCGTTCGCGGCCGTTTTACTAGCGTCACATATACGAAATTTGGTGTTACAGTACGTGAACGAATGACGAATGTATGTGACGGGTGCAAACATGATAATTATGAGATGCGTGTCATGTAACAACATGACTACATGCCACAGTCAAGGCGCCAATACATTTAGACGTGACGCGGTGCGCATGCTCGCCGGCGTTCATATCAGCGCATTACGCCGGCGTTGCCACACCAGGCGCTGGTCCTGCCATATACTCGCAGGCGTGCGCCGCGCTTCGTTGCTTTGACGCATGCACGTTTCATCGCGTCCGGCATCCCTCTGTCACGAAAAAAGGGAGACGCAGCATTGTCTGGGTAACGCATTGGCGCGAAATGCCGCATGTCGCATTTCGCGCTGGTTGCCTTTGGGCTGCGCCGACAGATGCTGGTTGCACCTGGCGTCAGACTATAAAGTGCTCGTGTTTCGCTAAAGTAGCGTCGCTGTTCCCAGCGTGCGCGCACGTCAATGCTACATTGGAGTATATTGGGCCCTTCATGATGCGCTCGCGGCCGTTTTGCTAGCTCCACATATACGAAACTTGGTGTTACGTGATGTCAGTGGATGACGAAAATATTACTTGTGCAGACATGATAATCCTGACACGCGTGTCATGTAAGAACATGACATCATACCACGCTCATAGTGTGCTCGCGGCCGTTTCGCTAGCTTCACATATACTAAATTTGGTGTCACGTGGCGTGATTAGATGACGAAGGTAAACGACACATCCAAACATGATAATCGTGATATGGAAGTCATGTACGGCATCATTTAGCTCCACCTCGTAACTTTGTGCTGATTTTAATGTGACATATCAACATTTCTCATTCGTGCTTTGTACATAATTGATTCCCACTGTACGGGGGATCTGCAAATTTTTATTTTTTTTTTTCTAATTTCGAGCAATGTGGTTACTCACACCAGCGGCGGTGGACAACTGCGCGTGACCCGAGTTGTGATTTCGTAACAGCTTTTGCTGTAAAAGGCCATAGAAGTTCTGTGGTTAATGTAGCGCTAACGTAGTTCTTGTGCAGGTCTTGGTACAGCTATAAATCCTGTAACTAATGCAGCTGCACTATTATGAAACCTGAGAAAGTGCACGAAGCATAGGCTGCCCATTGATTTTCTTGGCATTCCAATCTCGCCACTGCCTCGTCAATCTTCATGTTTTCTGGGGATGTGGCGCCATCTCTTGCGCGGCACGGGTGCCAGCCGGATGTTTCAGAAGGTTGTTTTATCGTTTTAGGTAAACTATGCTGATTAATTTTTGCCGATTTCTGTAGTTTATATTGCTTCATACCCTGTTGGTTTATGACGAACTGGTTTTGAGCATTGTTAGCCTTGTTTTAGGCCCGTATTGACCACTGCGTGAACATGCAACATCAGACATTGGATGGACAACAAGGCAGGACCCTAGTGTGCGATGCGCTTAGCACATACAGGTGTGCACAGGATTAGCGCTATAGTGCTAAACTCAGCTACAGCTTATCTTGATGGTGGGGTGAAGGCTATGGAGGCGGGGATTTTGCCCGCTTGTGTTGCTTCGCATGTAGTAGGGCAGCTTGCAGCCGATTTTGGTTTTGCTTGCTCGCGTCGTTAACGCGCGAATAGTATTATGTGCATGAGAACTGGGAATGTAAGAAGAGTTTCGATTATTCTGTGTAGGTTTCAGTGTCATATTAGGAGTATGCTTTTCCTGGAGAACCAACCAGCGTGTTCACATTCCCACACTGACCCACAGTGTCATGGATGCCATGTTGAATTTGCACAGCAACTTCGCTCAAAAGGTGGTGTTGTCAAAAAGAAGGGAGGAAAAGAAATGCATTCTTGCAAAGCGAACGATAACTGTATTTCATTTGCGACTTCCTGCAACTGTTTGGGTCTCGTAATAAATAAAGAAGCATTTACTTCAGCAAGGCCATTTATAACATTATCAATAAGCTTAAGTACTATTTTTGGCATGCAGGAACGCATTTTGATTCTGTAGCTTCCACAGTGTCAACAAGATGTATAATCGTGTGTACAGTGGGCCTTCTAACCGAATCGCAGTTGGCACGTAAAACCACGGATTGAGACGGTTCTTCTCTGTTGCAGATGATGCGACGGCACATAACCATGGTGCCTTCATACTGCATCGCCATCACGTTGGCGCTGCTGGCCGAGCAATTGTTTTCCACACATACGTCAGGTAGGCCAACTCGTGTTGGTTGCCTTCGACGACATCAAAATACGCACGCAGCTGTTATTTGGTTTTACTTCAGGATGCTGCTTAATGTCAAGGTACAGCACGTGGACATACTTATCGTGCCTAGTATCATTACCTTATCTTGTTACGTGATGATGTCTGTGATAAGTATTATTGGATTTTGGTGTGCCGATTCTTAGCGTCAATATTAACAGTATGGTGTCATCGTCAGAGTAGGCTTACATGTTGATGCCTGTGGTGAACGTCATAGCTTTCGTTGACATGCTGATTCTTGAGTTACTATTACAGTGCGTTGAAGAGCCAGCTAATAGGCTCTGGCTTTTTTTTTTTTAGCCTCCTAACAAATTTGCCAATATGTCTCAAAGGCTGTGGCAATCACATTTTGCGAACACCGCAGCAGTGCATGTCGCACAAAAGCTTCATCCTGAAAGACAATTCCCTCAGCTCCTCGCCTGCGCTCGCCCAATCCTCTTTGCATGTGAAGTGACGTAATGTCGTCTACGGGCAACTTTACGTAGCACTGGCTCTGGCAATTGGTTCTGTGCACTGCGAAACGGCGCCTTAGCCTAGCGGTTGGTGCGGCCTTGGCTGCCCTGTTGCTGAACGTATTTGTTTACATCTCCAGTGCCTTGTGCCTCTCTCACAGCGCTGCCTCACAAAGTAGGCCTGAAGCGCTCACTCTAAGGCCATTACAGTCTTACCCAGATCTGCACATAGTTCATGTGATATGCCGAGATGTCTATCCCGATGATACACTCAAACTTCATTATGACGAAGTTGCGTATTACACGAAAATAAGTGCTCTATACTCAAAAAGTTATTACATTGGTATATTCCTAACAGTGTATCGATTGCAAGACTGCTCTTCATTTACATCGTTATGGCCGGGATTTCGTTATATCCATCTTCTTTATATCGAGGTTTGGAGTGCACGGGCAACCGATGCAAACTCACTATGGCTATACTTGGACACATGCTCTGAGAGTGCATCACTACATATAACGATGCTAACCTCAGTGGTACCTCAACAAGGTGGGGTGTCGTCTTGCGTAGCTCCAGCGTAGCTGACCAGAAATGGGCCATCCAGCAAGCTCGCAATGGGGCTGTCAGGCTAGGCCACTCAGTCTCAACTTGGGAGCCCTAAGTGCACTCGTGCTCTCCTTGCAGGACATTCATGAAGTTATTTCATTTACTTTCATTCCTTACTGCGCCACTCTCACATGAGTGGCACATATCGTTGGCTGCGCTTTGACATAGCCGAAACAGGCATAATCACGACTATAGGCTGTATCTACCCCTTTCCACGGCAGGGAAGGGTGGGAAGGTCAAGAGAGAAATCGAAACCAGTTGAAGGAGGTTGCTTTAGGGACGAAGCTCCTTAAAGGACCCCTCACACCAAATTTGGAAACTCGAGGTGCTTGTGTTGTGAGAGAGCCCTGCATTCGGGCACACGTCTAATCGATTATTGGTGACGAGCGTTGTCTGTGAGATATTTCAGTTTTGTTTTAAAGTCAGTGTGCCTGCTCGTACAAGTATTGAGGTTCAGTTTTCTGTGTTTTTATGTAGGTAGGGGGCCCCTTTGTGACGTTGCAGAAGTCAAGCAAGTATTGTTGGTGCCGGGAACATTTGCGGGGCGCGCACAATACCCCGACTGCACCCGGCAATGACTGTTGTTCATCGCCCCTCTCACTCTGTTGTCAGGCTGCTCTCTTGTGGCTGCTTACGCCTGGAATGCTTTTCTTTTTTTCTGAGGGGGGCATCAAAGCATCCACATCGTTTTATTCATCACCACCTGCGGGTCCCCCTATTTGAAAACGGCGCATCCAGTGTCACTGAAGCTTAAGCGCACAGCACAGTCTCAGGTGCTGTCCCATGCGGGGCGCCAGTTTATAATGGCATTTAGAGAGCAGTTTCCAACTGATGCAAAATCGTTCTAAATTAAGGACTCTTGACATAAATTATACGATGCATTAGAGCATTTATGAATCAATTTCGGCATTACCATAGGCAAAGCTACAAATCTCTGTAAAAAAAGTCATAAACGAAGCTTTCGCTGTCACGTGTCTTTTAAATGTCGAGGCTTATTGATTGGCAGCTTTCGCGTCAGCCATAGCAGGGATGACAATATCACTGATGACGATGATGATCACGAGCAAGGACTGGCTTGGGCAGTATATGACGTCTCGGCATGCTCTGTGATGCATTTCGTATGGCTGGATACAACCAACAGCCACTGGAGGAACGTGCACAGACGTCGTCTTTGCCAACTTACGGCTAGATTAGACAACACAAAGCAGCAGTAATGAAGGAAAAATGAAATAACCATTCAACACGTCATACTAGTTATTACCAATAAACATTGTACATAAGTGTACACCGCTTTGTCACTCATTTACGTGCACGACGTGTCATTGTCGCGTATGATCGACGGTAACACCGAACTATCCCACTGCTTAGCCCGCTCATCATCATTCACTTCGTGGATATGCCATCAATTTTTTATCTGTCCTTACATTTTTATCAATGCACCTATTCCCAAAATTCTCTCTGCAGCAAGCATGTCCACATCGTACAAGTGCGCAGTTATTGCTTCGTCTCATGTTTTGGACCGGGAGGTTGTTTTCTGGCCTTTTGACATGTCCATGTCGCATGTCTACACCATGTTGGTGCCCGGTGTGAACTTTATTCATCCCGTTTTTGTTTGCACATTGATTTCTGTAGTTCTCAGTAATGCTTCACGAATGTGTTGCTTCTTTGTGTAAGTGTTAGTGTGGTGTCATCAGTCGCGTACGTGTATCTCGGTGACTTCTTCAAGCGGGTAGACGGTTTTGATGCTTGACAACACCATTACGGAATGGTACATTACACGATTTTCTGGTATGGTGTTGACATTGTACAGGCTACCGTAATTACTCGAATCTAACGTGCACCTTTTCGCCGGTTAAGCAAGGTCATAAATCGCATGTGCGTTAGAATCGAGTACGAAAAAAAATGAATACGGTCAATCTATTGCCATCAGCATTTGCAAAATGGCCGCCCCCTACGTGCATCGGCATGGCGCGTCGGCCATTTCTGCCTATGTGTTTCCCATGTGCGGCACTTCGTACGTGTGTTGAGGAGTTCGTCATCTGGTAGTGCATTAGCATCGACGGCATGGAAGGGCCGACTCCAAAAACTCGAGTGCACCACGATGCCGCTTTTAAAAGAAAAGTCATCGCGTGTGCAGAAACGGACGGAAATCGGGCCGCATCGCGGTCGTTCGGAGCTCCCGAAACGTGTGTGCGGGACTGGCGGAAACAAAAGCAGAAGATTGTCAACAGCAAAGCTTCACGCAAAGGCTTCAGCGGACCACAGCATGGTCGGTTTCCGCAAATTGAAGAGCTGCTCGGCATGTATGTGCTTGAGCAGCGAGCAGCACAGCGGCCCGTGACGACAGAACTGCTCCAAGTGCAGGCTATGCAATTAGCTTTAGAAAAAGGTCTAATGCGGAGCCAGTTTAAAGCGAGCAGGTGCTGGCTAACTAACTTTATGAAGAGGAAAGGCTTTTCCCTCCGAAGGGGAACCGGTATTGCGTAACCTGCGGAATCACTGTCTGATTTAGGCGGTATTCGAATACGCTTGGTTGCTGTTTTCTTGAGATGCGGAGTAGCACTGACTTTGAAGCATTTATTGCATTTTAGAGTCCCCACACCACTGATCTATTTTCAACAGTGATTTCTGGAGAACTTCGTGATCGTTAATTGAATTTATTTCTTTGAATATAATGCAGTCATCTGCAAATAACCTTATGCTAACTGATTCCGGTAATATTTCTGTTATATCGTTTATGAAAATAATAAATAGCAACGAACCGAGCACACTGCCCTGTGGTACTCCAGACAGAACTGCCAAAGTAGGTGATAAACAGCCATTTATGTCTACAAAGACATAATTGGTGACGAGCGTTGCTGTGGGATATTTCGATTATTGGTGACGAGCGTTGCCTGTGGGATATTTCAGTTTTGTTTTAAAGTCAGTGTGCCTGCTCGTACAAGTATTGAGGTTCAGTTGACTTTTTCTGCGTTTTTATGTAGGTAGGGGGCCCCTTTGTGACGTTGCAGAGATAAAGCAAGTATTGTTGGTGCCGGGAACATTTGCGGGGCGCGCACAATACCCCGACTGCACCCGGCACATGACTGTTCGATTCATCGCCCCTTCTCACTCTCGTGGTCAGGCTTGCTCTCTTTGGTTGCTTACGCCTGGAATGCTTTTCTTTTTTTCTGAGGGGGCGCAATCCAAGCACTCCATCATGTGTTATTCATCCCACCTGCGGGTCCCACTATTTGAAAACGGCGCATCCAGTGTCACTGGAAGCTTTAAGCGCACAAGCCCACAGTCTCAGGTGCATGTCCCATGCGGGCGGCCAGTTATAATGGCATTTAGAGAGCAGTTTCCCACTGAGCAAATCGTTCTAATTAAGGACTCTTGACATTAAATACTCCGATGCATTAGAGCATGTATGAATCAATTTCGGCATTACCATAGGCAAAGCTACAAATCCTGTAAAAAAAGTCATAAACGAAGCTTTCGCTGTCACGTGTCTTTTAAATGTCGAGGCTTATTGATGGCAGCTTTCGCGTCAGCCATAGCAGGGATGACAATATCACTGATGACGATGATGATCACGAGCAAGGACTGGCTTGGGCAGTATATGACGTCTCGGCATGCTCTGTGAGCATTTCGTATGGCTGGATACAACCAACAGCCACTGGAGGAACGTGCACAGACGTCGTCTTTGCCAACTTACGGCTAGATTAGACAACACAAAGCAGCAGTAATGAAGGAAAAATGAAATAACCATTCAACACGTCATACTAGTTATTACCAATAAACATTGTACATAAGTGTACACCGCTTTGTCACTCATTTACGTGCACGACGTGTCATTGTCGCGTATGATCGACGGTAACACCGAACTATCCCACTGCTTAGCCCGCTCATCATCATTCACTTCGTGGATATGCCATCAATTTTTTATCTGTCCTTACATTTTTATCAATGCACCTATTCCCAAAATTCTCTCTGCAGCAAGCATGTCCACATCGTACAAGTGCGCAGTTATTGCTTCGTCTCATGTTTGGACCGGGAGGTTGTTTTCTGGCCTTTTGACATGTCCATGTCGCATGTCTACACCATGTTGGTGCCCGGTGTGAACTTTATTCATCCCGTTTTTGTTTGCACATTGATTTCTGTAGTTCTCAGTAATGCTTCACGAATGTGTTGCTTCTTTGTGTAAGTGTTAGTGTGGTGTCATCAGTCGCGTACGTGTATCTCGGTGACTTCTTCAAGCGGGTAGACGGTTTTGATGCTTGACAACACCATTACGGAATGGTAACACGATTTTCTGGTATGGTGTTGACATTGTACAGGCTACCGTAATTACTCGAATCTAACGTGCACCTTTTCGCCGGTTAAGCAAGGTCATAAATCGCATGTGCGTTAGAATCGAGTACGAAAAAAAATGAATACGGTCAATCTATTGCCATCAGCATTTGCAAAATGGCCGCCCCCTACGTGCATCGGCATGGCGCGTCGGCCATTTCTGCCTATGTGTTTCCCATGTGCGGCACTTCGTACGTGTGTTGAGGAGTTCGTCATCTGGTAGTGCATTAGCATCGACGGCATGGAAGGGCCGACTCCAAAAACTCGAGTGCACCACGATGCCGCTTTTAAAAGAAAAGTCATCGCGTGTGCAGAAACGGACGGAAATCGGGCCGCATCGCGGTCGTTCGGAGCTCCCGAAACGTGTGTGCGGGACTGGCGGAAACAAAAGCAGAAGATTGTCAACAGCAAAGCTTCACGCAAAGGCTTCAGCGGACCACAGCATGGTCGGTTTCCGCAAATTGAAGAGCTGCTCGGCATGTATGTGCTTGAGCAGCGAGCAGCACAGCGGCCCGTGACGACAGAACTGCTCCAAGTGCAGGCTATGCAATTAGCTTTAGAAAAAGGTCTAATGCGGAGCCAGTTTAAAGCGAGCAGGTGCTGGCTAACTAACTTTATGAAGAGGAAAGGCTTTTCCCTCCGAAGGGGAACGGGCATATGCAAAAAGTTTTGCGGAGGAGTACGATAAAAAGCTTCACAGTTTTCAGAGGTTCGTCCTAAACTTGCAGCACAACAACGGCTACCTGCTTGGGCAAATCGGGAATGCCGATCAGACGCCTCTTTACTTCAACATGCCTGGCACCACAACCGTCGAGAAGAAGGGGGCGAAGCAAGTTCGCGTGCTGACATCGGTCCACGGTAAAACTACTGTGACGGCAATGCTCTGTTACATGTCAGATGGGCACAAGCTTCGCCCGTACCTCATATTTAAATGGAAGACGCTCCCGAAAGGAGTTGCTTTTTCGAGTGGTGTGATCGTGCGGGCCAGCGAGAAAAATGGGTGCGCGTTGCAATCGATGTCTTACGGGTTTTTTTTTTTTTCGTCGTGGGAATCGGGGGCGCGTTACAATCGAAGGCGTGGTAGAATCGAGTAAATACGGTATACTTGATAGGAACAGTACAACGTGGCGCTGCATTTGTGCCAAGCATTAACACACCAGCTTAAATCTTTATATCTGTGGCATATATCATGCACTCAAACCTCATTATAACAAAACTGCATCTTACACAAAAATAGGCTCGTTATATTAGAAAATTTGTTATAAAGGTTTATCAGCACAGTATGTATTGCAAAACTATTTTTCCGTTACTTTGTTATCACTGATATTTCGTTATATCTAGGTTTGTTATATCAAGGTATGATTGTATTTGGTAAAGTGAAGTTTCCTCGTGGATTGCAACTTGACATCCCGCAGGTGTGAGCCTGGACTTCAACTGTGCCCTGCAGAAGGCCGAGACCTTCCTGGAACTCACTTTGCTGGCCAGCTTGGTCGAGTACTTCTTTCAGTGAGTACAGTTTTGATGCACATGTTAACCACGTCGTGCGGTTTCTTCTGCATGTAAAAAGAAGATAGAATTTGCCGAATGGTACTGGAGTACAATGCTAATTCGGTTGCCATGCCATCGTAGCTGTTATAGTGCCATTGCTGTTGCTGTTGTCAGCATGCTGTCAGTTTCGATGTGAATTTTGTGTCGTCGTGGCGGAGTCATTTTGTGTCGTCGTGGCGGAGTCGAGCCATGTCTGCCTCCGTCATGACACGCCATGACAATGGCGCTGATGACGACGATCATGGACAGCGACTGGCTCCTGCAGTATATGACATATGGATATGCTCTATGATGCATTTGGTATTACTAGAAACAACCACCAATTACCAGGGAAACATGCGCAGACGTTGTCTTTGCCAATTTCAGGTTAGATCGGATACCACAAAGCAGTAATAATGAAGGCGAAACGAAATTCACAACTCAACACAACATACCATTTATGATCCATGAACCTTGTATATGACTGTACACGGCTCTGTCACTCATTTACATGTGCGAGTGGTCGGCGTCACGGATGATTTACAGTAACACCAAACGATCCCACCGCTTCGACCACTCATCATTATTCACTTCGGGGATATGCCACGTTTTTTTTTTTGTTCTTGAGGCAGGTGTGATGAATTGTCCCAACACTTGAAGAAATGACGACGAAGCAGTCTTGTTTTCCATGCGCCAAGTTTTGCTGTGAGTCTATACTAGTTTGCCCAGTACACCATTTTTTACTGGAAGGTTATAGTGCTAAAATACTGCCCCAGAAATACTGAACCATGTGCCAGCAAGCTATAAATTGACGTCGACGGTGAGGACAGTCGTACGGCTCAAGCAGGCAGACAAAGAGTGTGCCCGTTACTAGACACTGCTGGTTTGTCCGCTAAAGCTGGAGCGTTGTGACACCTTGATCACGATGCAAAAAGCGAGTTTGGCTCAACTGTCCGTGTGGCTCATAGACTAGGGGAATTGTTGATGTGAGGTCACATGATGCGCCGTCCCTGCCTCCAAATCCGGATTCATTACGTCGCCTGAATGCACTAATAACAGCATTGGATGACCTAAATTTCAGAGTTCTCCACCATGCTTCATAATCACGCTGTTGTTTTGCCACGTAAACCCCAGAAATTATTGTTATTCACGCTTTCAGTCAGTCACCTTTTCAATCTCTCCTTAAAACTCCCATTAAATCTGTTCACTGTCTCATGCAATCTTTCCTTTGGACTTAGCTCAAATATCCCATTCAAACTCCCATCTTCCACTAAATATCCAGTTTAATCTCCCATATACGGTATTTTCTCGCATATAACCAGGGCACAAAAAAAACAAACAGATAAAGGTGCCTATAATGTGGAGATGCACGTCAGACGTACTTTTAACGGGGGAGTTTCTACTCCCTCCCACGCCTAGCCGTGCGTGGCTTTGCCGTGTCCGGGGAAAAGGGGATCCTGGGGGTTGAGCCGACGTTGGGTGATTGGACCGTTAAGGCCCCCCAGCAGAGGCAACACACCCCTTTGGCCCCGGCTTCACGTAGACGGCAGCCCTGGGCTGACCCACCCAGGGGAAATCGGCAGTCGCCTTTTCCTATCTCTCTCTTCCTACATCTTAGTCTTTTCTCGTCTTTAAATCTATCCTGTCTTCTTCTCTCTTCCATTTACTTCCGATTTTTCCTGGCGGCAAGGGTTAACCTTGTGTAATTACTCAACCTTGAGTAGTTATATTTGGTTATAGTGGCAATGTACGGCTGGCGTCTGCAGCCTTATGCTATTAAGTGCTTCAGCGTCCCCTGGTTGGACTCCATGGTGGGTGGTCGCCATTGCTGCCGAAAAAAAACTACACTACTATGGGAACACCTGCATTTCCCCGTCTACTAGATCGTCCTCCGCCTAAGAGGGGACGCACCGATGACATCTCAATTTTCAGCCAACCCAGACAATGTTTCCCCAAATTCCATGTTGTGCACAGCGAAAACCCAACAAAACAAGCCAGAGTCATATCTCCATTTCTTGTTGCTAAATCTCTGACTGAGGTCTTTGGCCCAGGATACAAGGTTACAAAAATGGCTAGCGGAGACCTTCTCCTTGAGCTGCCGGAAAAACACCACTATGAAAAAATTGGCAGTCTCGTAGCATTTGGTAACATCCCAGTATCTGTTTCACCTCATAGATCAATGAACACCTCACGCGGAGTTGTTTCAGAAGCAGACCTTCTTGAAATGTCTGAACAGGAACTGCTTGAAGGGTGGAAAGAGCAAAATGTCACAGATGTGAAACGAATCGTCATCAGACGAGAAAACAAAGAAATACCTACCAAACATTTAATACTCACCTTCGCATCTAGCACACTGCCTTCATCTGTAGACACAGGCTACATCAAACTATCTGTCCGTCCCTACATTCCCAATCCAAGACGGTGTTTCAAATGTCAACGATTTGGTCATGGTTCGCAGAACTGCCGGGGTCAGGAAACTTGTGCAAGATGTGGTGGCCGCGGCCACCCATCTGATAACTGTGTTACCACGCCCCACTGCGTGAATTGTGACGGGGAACACGCCGCGTATTCGCGTTCGTGTCCTAACTGGAAGAAAGAAAAAGAAATCATCACTCTTAAAGTCAAAGAAAACATCACATTCAAAGAAGCAAGACGAAGAGTGTCGCCATTTTATGGCGCAACATATGCTGATGCGGCGCGTCAGGGGGCAACGTCGCACCAGCCCTCGCCACCCCTTCGGCCTGCGCAGAGCGAGCCGTCGGCTGTGGCACCTGCCCCCAAGGCGGCTGTAGCCCAGGCTACACCGCCTACTCCCAAACAGAGACCGGAGACTCCAGAGTCTTCGGGTCTCAAGGCCTCCCCTCACCAGGCGAGGCCCAAAATCCAAACTAACAGCCCGCACGTGCGGGCATCCAGTGCCTCCGAGGAGGCAATGGATACGTCGGCACCCGTGGTGCCGAAAGAGCGGTGTGGCTCCTTGGAGCGCGCCAAGAAAACAAAAAAGCAAATAACAGGGCCTGGTGACGGCCCTGTTAAGTGAACTCAAACTCCCCGTCTAAACAGCCACTCGCTTTTCGTACACACAGCATTATTTTACATTCACCATGAACACTCAAATCATACAATGGAACGTCAGGGGCCTTCTCAGAAACCTTGACGACATCCAAGAACTCCTACACGAACACTCACCAAAAGTGCTGTGTGTACAAGAAACACACCTTAATTCAAAACACACAAATTTTCTTCGCAAATACGTTATTTTTCGAAAGGACCGTGATGATGCCATGACATCATCCGGAGGTGTTGCCATAATAGTGAATCAAGGAATTGCATGCACACACTTACAACTCCAAACATCCCTTGAGGCAGTGGCTGTTCGAGCGGTTCTTTTTGATAAACTAATCACAATCTGCACTATTTACATCCCTCCTAGCTATCAGCTGCAAAAACGTGATTTACACTCTTTAATCGATGAACTTCCGGAGCCTTATGTTCTCCTTGGAGACTTCAATGCGCATAGCAGGCTATGGGGAGACTCTCGTTGCGACGCGCGAGGTCGACTGATTGAACAATTCCTTCTCTCGTCGAACGCATGTCTCCTAAATAGAAAAGAACCAACCTATTATAATATCGCACATAACACTTACTCCTCCATAGACCTAAGCATAGTCTCTCCATCTCTTGTGCCTCTGCTTCAGTGGAAAGTCGTCAGTAATCTGTACGGAAGTGACCACTTTCCCGTAGTTTTGAGCACAACTACAGCAACTGAGTGTACACCCCGTGTTCCCAAATGGCTCATAAACAGAGCCGACTGGGAACGGTTTCATACCATCGCTCGTATAGATTGGAGTGACATAAGTACTTTAAGCATTGATGTTGCTGTCGACTACTTCACAGCTTTTTTGATTGATGCTGCAACAAAATGCATCCCACAAACAAATGGGCACCCAGGAAAACGGCGTGTGCCATGGTGGAATTCTGAATGCCGAAACGCGCGCAAACAGCAAAACAGAGCTTGGAGGCTGCTTCGGAACTCGCCGACAGCCGAAAATCTTGACACCTTCAAGAAAATAAAGTCTCAAGGCAGGAGAACGCGTCGGCAGGCCAGAAGAGAAAGCTGGCAGAAGTTTTTGTCAGGGATCAATTCATACACACAGGAGGCTAAAGTCTGGAACATGGTCGGTAGGATAGCAGGAAAACAAGTACACACACTTCCACTCGTGGACACTCAGGGTGATACATTGGAAGATCAGGCAAACTTCCTCGGTGCACACTTCGAACAGGTGTCCAGCTCATCCCACTATACTGACACTTTCCAAAAATACAGAACAAGAATAGAAAAGCAGAAACTTGAACACAAATGCACTAGATCCGAGGCATATAACCAAGCTTTCAGTCTAGCTGAGCTGCAAATGTCTCTTAACTCCTGCAGTACTTCTGCCCCAGGTTCTGACCGTGTGGTGTATGAAATGTTAAAAAACCTACCAATCGAAACACGAAAAACCTTACTTTGTTTGTACAATGCTATCTGGTTTTCTGGCGCTATCCCTACCTCCTGGAAAGAGGCTATTATTATTCCCATTTTGAAAGAGGGCAAAGATCCTTCTTTACCCTCGAGTTATAGGCCTATAGCACTTACAAGCTGCTTGTGCAAAGTCTTCGAAAAAATGATAAACTGCCGACTTGTACATTACCTTGAAACAAATAATTTGCTCGACCCATTTCAGTGCGGGTTTCGAGAAGGTAGATCCACCACAGACCACCTTGTTCGTATCGAGGCACAGATCAGAGACGCCTTCGTCCATAAACAATATTTTCTCTCTGTGTTCCTCGATATCGAAAAGGCTTATGATACAACATGGCGTTTCGGAATTCTAAGAGACCTTTCCCACCTTGGCGTGCGCGGAAGAATGTTTCACATAATCAAAAGTTACCTGTCAAACCGGACTTTCCGTGTCCGAGTGGGCACGGTTCTATCCCAAACATTTGTTCAGGAAACAGGCATGCCACAAGGTGGTGTACTTAGCTGCACACTTTTTCTCATAAAAATGAATTCCTTGCGCTTGACCATCCCTCGCAATATGTTTTATTGCACATATGTCGATGACGTCCAGCTTGGCTTTAGGTCTTGCAATCTGGCATTGTGTGAGCGGCAGGTTCAGTTAGGTTTAAACAAGCTCTCCAAATGGGCAGAGGAAAATGGATTCCGACTGAACCCACAAAAAAGCACGTGTGTCTTGTTCTCCCGAAAGAGAGGCATGCACTCAGAACTCGACATTAAACTGAACCGTCAACGTCTGTCCGTCAAAGCCGAGCATAAATTCTTAGGCTTAATCTTGGACAACAAGTTGACCTTCGTGCCGTACATCAAGTATCTAAAAACAAAATGTTTAAAAGCCATGAATGTTTTAAAAGTGTTGTCACGTACTACTTGGGGCAGTGATAGGCAATGCCTCATGAACCTCTATAGAAGCCTCATTCGCACCCGCTTAGATTATGGGGCCGTTGTTTATCAGTCTGCTACTCCAAGTGCCTTGAAGATGCTTGACCCCGTGCACCATTTGGGCATCCGCCTTTCTACGGGTGCTTTTCGCACCAGCCCCGTAGAAAGCCTTTATGTTGAGTCGAATGAGTGGTCGCTTCATCTGCAGAGAACTTACATGTCCTTTGTTTATTTCCTTAAGGTGAAAGCAGATAAGAAGCACCCCTCATACTCCACTATTATTGATTTGTCGAGCTCCATTCTGTTTCAAAACAGGCCTTCGATGAGGCAGCCCTTCTCAGTTCGCCTGAAAAGTCTAGCTGAGGAAACTGGAGTCTCACTTGAACATAGTTTAATGGCTCCTGTAGCATATCTGCCACCGTGGCAATGGCAGACTATAGACTGTGATGTGTCCTTTCTTGAAGTTACAAAACATGCGCCTATTGCCCATATCCGAACATACTTCCTGGAACTTCAACACAAATACACACGTCCTGAGTTCTTTACAGATGCCTCCAAGTCTAACTCCTCTGTGTCCTACGCTGCTGTCGGCCCATCTTTTTCGGATGCTGGCCCTCTACATCCAGACACAAGTATCTTCACAGCGGAAGCCTACGCGATACTTGTGGCGGCTAAACACATCAAGCAATTACAAATACAAAAAGCAGTAATTTATACAGACTCCCTCAGTGTAGTAACGGCTCTGCACACTCTTAAAAAACACAAAAACCCAGTCCTTGTCTCACTTTACTCCATTTTATGCACACTATACACACTCAAACAACATGTTGTAGTGTGCTGGGTGCCAGGGCACCGTGAGATTCAAGGCAACGTGAGGGCGGATCAGCTCGCTGCATCCGCCCACAAAAACACTGCATCTACACCCAGATCAATCCCGGCCCTCGATCTTAAGCCGTCTCTCAAACGAAACCTCAGAGTATACTGGCAGAGCAAGTGGGATACACACACACAAAACAAACTACACGTTATTAAGCCACACCTTGGTCATTGGCTGCCAGTATCGAAATCGCGTCATACAGAGGTAATACTAACGAGACTCAGGATAGGACACACATACACGACACACACACACCTTTTGTCCGGTGGCGATCCACCATTGTGTGACAGATGTGGTGAAGTATTGACTGTCCTTCACATTTTAATTGAGTGCAAACAATCGGACACTGTAAGAAAACAACACTTTCCATTACCCTACCGACAACATATACCTTTGCACCCTGCAATGTTCGTCGGTAGAGAACCACTTTTTAGTCATAAATCATTGTTAGCGTTTTTAAAAGAAATTCACAGCTTTCACATCATATACCCGGGCATCCCGTAGCATGACCTCTCCAGAGAGGTTTTTGCTGCGGTGGCTACACAAGAAAGCACATGCCTCACGGCCCTTGGACGCAAGGGTTTGAACGAGTGAGGCACTTGTGCTAATGCCATACATATCCACCATCGTCTTTTATTATCACCAACTTTTGTCATCTGTTCACACCACACACACCTTCCACGGCATGGTCATGATTTTATTATTTGTATGTTTTTACCCGCCTTACTGCGAGGAATTTTACGGCCCTTATACAGCCACTTATCACAATCATTGTCCATATTTTTAGTAAGATGAACTGGCGCTCTTTGGCCATGAATCGGCCCTTGCGCCATAAAACATCAAACATCATCGTCAGACGTACTTTTTTTTTCTCTTCGTAGAGAAAGTGGTGCGGGTGATATTCTCGAAATACAGTATTCTCTCACTGTATATTTCACTCATTGTCCCATTAAATTTCTTTCACACACACACACACACACACCGAAAAACTTGTAAAAACTAACATGCGGCCAGGCCTGTAGCCAGAAATTTTTTTCACGGTCCGCACCTGTCGAAGGCCTTGAAAAACTGGTGTATTTTCATTATTTTTGCTTGGTGAAATACTCCCTTTAACCGAATTTTGTGGGGGGGGGGGGGGGAACTAGGCTCGAAACCCTCCCGCCTGACTATGGGTCAGCATGTGACAAATATGTGCTTAGAAAGATGACGACATGTGAGACATAAGTATTCAGTGGCAGTGAAGAAGTGAATCTATGAATGTGGCAAAACTTCGACCTCTTGAGTGAGCAAAACTTGAAAGGCAAAGCGATGCTCCCGCATTTGCAGGAGTCTCTCGGAAGGAGGTGCCGTTCTGGTGATCGACAACATGGGTACGACTAACGTTTGGGAGAACGTGGCCCTGCGCGTCTCCCTGTACTGCGTCGGATGCGGGGCCGTCTACGTTTTGGGAATCCTGATTGCGGGCGGCACCTACCTGTTCGCCACGTGGCTCGACAGGTAATACTACCGGAAGTTAGCGAAATACATTGTGGGCTAGTTTCTTCGTTCCAGTGAGGTGAAAATAAAAGTGCAATTTTTTTTATGATGTGAACATATAAGTTAAGACTAGCGCTAACATTTTTGCAGCACAAAAGGAAAAAGGACAAGAGCTGACTTGTAGATTGACTTCATTGTATGTACCTACATACCATGCTCATAGAAGGAAGTATGTTCACTTCGGGCTATGTAGTCCAAATACTTGCGTTCTCACCGTTTTCAGTCCATGCCACATCGGTGTAATAATAAGTTTATACACCTCTAACAGTTTACTGAAGCAGTTGTGCAGTACCTGTTGTCATATCTGATGTTGCACCTTATTCTACGAGGATTGTATGTATTTAGGAACAAGACAGGTGTGTAGACGTCATTGTGTGTAAATGCCACTCTTCCTGCAGCCTTGAAAAGCTCATTGGACGAAAAAGACGTGGCAGGTTTCGGGACCGAAGTTGTTTCTTTGCTACGCAACAAAATGCGGGGGTCAGTTACATAAACCTTCTCACACTTTTTGAGATGGTAGACCTCCGTAATTCCTCGAGGAATTGCATTGCCACTCTTGAGCAAGATTAGTGGTCCGTCGAGAATGAAATTAGGAGCCCTTCCTGTTTTGGGCGGAACGTTGGAGAAAACGATTCCGGGAATGTGCAATTGGACTTTTGACCGAGTGCCTAGCAATGCAATAATTTCGTTGCTCCTGGCAACAACACAGTCATTCATGAAACAAATAAAGGCTACAATAAAACTTGGGAATTTGAAATGACAAGTGGCCTGGACATACGAGATCATATTGCCATATCAGAAAAGGCTGATCGCCGACAAGCACACGATTGAGGGAGCATCATTTATTGGATCACGACGCGTACGAATTCACATGTGACCGGAACCAAGTTTTCTATGAGCCAAGCCGGCTGCAGTCATCAAAATCTGCAACACGTAGAAGCATTGATTAATAGAGTTATAGTATTTGCCGTTGCATTGTGTTCCTGTGAACCATTGCAATGCAGCATCTGAATTCTAGAAATAGAATTCTGGTGATGATGCGCCTGCTGAAGAGACAGCAGAAGCGTACCATATCTGAAAGAAGGAGAAGGCTTTTGGAAGTGAAACCACCGCCTTACAAATTTCGATTTATAGGTCTGGTGGTGGGACTCTTGAAGGTTAAGTTAATTTGGCTTGGATAGGCTAGGCTAGGCTAAGCTAGGTTAGGCTAAGTTAGGTTATCTTAGGCATGATGTGAACTTGTCACAGTTGGTTGAAGGTAATCAGAACCTTGTAGCTTGTGCATTACTTTGTAGTGTTGGACTACATGATTGTTCTTCGTGCGATCTGCAGTATGCTTGCAATGGTAAGAGGAACCGACCGGGGTCCGCCGCCCAAAAAGCAGCCGTGGTTGCCGCAAGTGTTCCTGCTGGTGACGGGCCTGCTGCTTCTGATGGTTGCCACCTGCGCTGCCGTGGCAATGCTTGTGGCCAGTGTCGTGTTTGCCATCAGGGTGAGCTGCCTGCTGCTCGTCTCTCTGGTCGTCTCTGTCGTAAAGCTGCCAACATAGAGAATAGACTGTTGAGCAAGTCGGTATTATGTCATGACGAAAAAAGTGTGAAAAAACAACAAGACGAAAAGGGCTAGTGAACAAGGATGTATTAACAATGAAACGTTAGGACCCTAAACCACCACCTCTGCTGATTTTAACACGAAATTGTTTCATGCCGAGGTCCACCACGGCTTTGGGATAAAGGCAAGATAACCGCTGGTCATTGAGAGTGACAGACTGGATTCCAAGAAATTGCAAGCTCGGGAAGGAGGTGGGACAGGAGTTTGGGTAGGCAGGTGAGATCAAAGGAGTTTGCGAGTATAATGTGGCCGCAGAAAGCACAGGACCGGGTTGACAGACGGCATATCGCCCCGCCACGGTGGTCTAGTGGTTAAGGTACTCGGCTACTGACCCGCAGGTCGTGTGATCAAATCTCGGCTGTGGCAGCTGCATTTCCGGTGGAGGCGGAAATGTTGTAGGCCCATGTACTCAGATTTGGGTGCACGTTAAAGAACCCCCGGTGGTCGAAATTTCCGGAGCCCTCCATTACGGCGTCTCTCATAATCATACGGTGGTTTTGGGACGTTAAACCCCACAAATCAATCAATCAAACAGACGGCATATGGGAGGGGCCTTTGCCGTGCAGTTGGCGCAGTCAAGATGATGACGGTCGCGGTGATCGTAATCTGCATACTCTTCATGCATGTCCCAGCTCGTGTACCAGTGCGCCCGCCAGTTGGCCCAGGAGCAGCGACGGGGTCCGTCGAGCGAGACGTGCGGGTGGCGTCTGCAGCTGTGCCTGCTGCACCTGTGGCTCTGGGTTACAGCCCTGGGGCTGCCCGCGGCCCTAGTCTGGTTCTCGGTCGGACCCCTGTCTGCCCCTCCAGGCGGGGCTGATCCACTGGCGCCAACCGCGACCTTTCTGATCTTGGCCCAGGCCGTCCTCTGGCAACCTTTCGTTCCGAATCCCCAGGGGTGAGACAATCGTATTGTGCCCTTGCGATTGATTGAGTGATCGATCGTGGCGGGAAAACAGCGACCTCGGAAAGCGGCCTTTGTCGATCAATTGTATACCTCAGTTTGATACAATGCTAGGCAGAAGAGTTCTGCAGAGACCCGCACTGTGGTCGAATAGTTAAAAGGAAAATAAAATAGCCAACCACCTCTTTGTAGCACGAAGCGACAAAGAAATCTGTACGGATTTCTCAAAAGGATAATCCTCTTGTTGTTGCACTAGTCGGTTCACAGATTCCGCAATTTTTAACGGAGCAAAGAAGACAATACGGAAATAGAAACGTAAAGGCACCAGAGCTGTGTGTTGTGTGTGAGCTCATGGATAGGAAAGCAAAAATTGGGGCACGCTCGGGCTTTGCCTTCAAGAGCAGATCACTGTAGCATAACCGAGACTTGTGCGTGTCACCTCTGAACTACTAGCCTGCTTCGGTTCTCGGTGCATGGCTTACCCGAGTGAAGAAAACGAACGACTTTGTGCATAATGTTGGCCGTTTTAAAGCATCATCGATTGCCCATTGCAAGCACAGTTGTTGAGTGCCCAAAACACCGTAATTGTTTTTTTTTTTTGTGGATCAGTGAAGGGCTCACTACGTGTGGGTTGGGCAACACGTGAACCTACTGTAGAAACCGGAATATAAGTCAAGATATTTTCAATAAAATAATAATCTAAAGTCGCCCCTCGTCTTATATAGCGGTGTCTAGCCGAAAGTGCGCCGCTGTCTGGCAACATGTGGCTTGCATGTGCTTGAGAAGCTGGACGCGGCCATATCCGCATCCAAATCCAATCGTAGGCTGTTCTTTTTTTCCCTCCGTTTGTTTTCATTGTGTTCGTGATTTGCTTCCGATCTGTTCTGAGTTTTTGCTGTGCTTGACATTGCATTGCATTTTTAGTGGTCTTTTTTTTTTCGTTCTCTGAATATGAGTAGCGGTGCGAGGAGGCAGTACTCAGCTGCGTTTAAACTAGATGTTGAGTTCGCAGGAGCGAACGGGAATATGGCTGCTCAGCGCCGCTTTGGTGTAACGGAAAAAAGCGTGAGCTATTGGAGGGCGCAGAAAGGGAAGCTGCAGATGTGCAATCGTCAAAAAATGTCGTTTCGTGGACGAGGTGCCGTTCATCCACAGCTAGAGAATAAGCTAGGGGACTTTGTGCGGGAAGTTCGTGCGCGCTCGCTGCCAGAGACCGTGGATACCATTCGCAAGAAAGCCGTGGAACTCGCTCCAGAAGCTGGGCTCACGAGAGAAAAGTTTCGTGCACCAAACTCTTGGGTGCGTCAATTTATGCGACGTAAAGGATTTTCTCTCCGGCGGCGCACATCTATCTGTCAAAAGTTGCCGGAGGAGTTCGAGGACTAGCACATAAACTTCCAGCGCTTCATGAACCGGCTTCGGGAGCAGAACGACTGCATGATGGAGCAGATTGGCAACGCCAATGAGACCCTCGTGTGGTTTGACATGCCTTCGTCGACCACGATCACGCAGCGCGGCACCAAGGATGTGAAGCTGTTGTCCACTGGCAACGAGCACTCGCGCTTCACCGTCATGCCGGCATGCACGGCAGATGGTAGAAAGCTTCCGCCCTTCATCATTTTCAAATGCAAGACAGTGCCGAAGGAAGTGTTCCCGCTTGGTGTTGTTGTTTGCGCAAAAAAAAGGGATACATGGATGAGGCCATCGTGCTCGAATGGATAGGAGTGGTGTGGAACCGACGGCCATGTGCACTGCTGCGTCTTCGCAACATGCTGGTGTTGGATGCCTTTCGTGGCCACTTAACCGACGCAGTGAAACGCGCACTCGGCGACGGGAAAACGGACCTCACCGTGATACCAGGTGGTATGACGTCCGCCCTCCAGCCGCTCGATGTTGTGCTAAACAAGCCGTTCAAGGACCAAGTGCGGCTAGAATACCAAGAGTTAATGTCCGGTGACAACCCCAAGACACCGACGGGCCGCCTACAGAGGCCTACGCTTGCTACTCTTTGTGGCTGGGTGCTTTCCGCCTGGCATTCCTTGCCGGATTCCATGGTGGAAAATGCTTTCAAGAAATGTTGCATCAGCAACTCACTGGATGGCACTGAAGACGACGCACTGTGGGAGGCGGCCAGCTACAAACTCTCATCTTCAGAAGACACTGGTGCTTCGTCGGACGAATAGTACCAGTTGCGATGGTGGTTGAGGAGAGCTCCGACGATCGGGGTGCGGTGCGCCCAATTCGCAAATAAATGTGGTTCGGTAGTTTTGGGTTGTTTTCCTTTTTTTTTCTTTTAGGGGCGAAGCTCCTTATGGCGTGGCTTGGGCGTCCCTTGTATGTAACCACCAGTGGCACATACCCCGAAATAGGTATAACACTTGACCTCCAAGGTGGTGCCAGTGAGAGATTTCTTCTGTGTGTTGTTTAACAATAAAAAATAGTGCTCAATGTACATGCCAATGGCTGCTAATGGGGAATGAGAGACATGAGCGTTCGGCTTTTAGTCAACGCACATGCTGCGATCCCCATTAGCAGCCATTGGCATGTACATTGAGCACTATCGGACAAGAAAGGGATGCTACATTATACTCGCTGGGTGTAACCTCCTTAGCTTTAGAAAGGTTTAGCGAGCAATGAGCCGCAGTGCCATGAATACAATGAACTTGTATATACCATGAATGAACTCAAGGTGGTTAAAAATGAGAAGTAGATACGAAGCGCAAGCCGTAAGAAAGTAAAAGCCGAATTCTCCTGTCTCTGATTTCTCATTAGCAGCCATTGGCATGTAAATTGAGCCCTATCTGACAGGGAAAGGTTGCTACGTTATACTCGCTGGGCGTAACCTCCTTGGTTTTCGAAAGGTTTAGCGAGCGTTTGGTCGCAGTGCCATGAATACAGTGAACTAGAATATACCATGAACTCGAGGTGGTTAAAGGTGGGAAGTGGACCCAAAGCGCAGGCCGTAAGAAAGTGTGCGTGTGCCACCTCTCGTTTAGTCCTTGGAATGTCCGCTGGATGGCGGTGCTTCTATATGGGGAATATATGATAAAAAGATGCGAGATGGTGGGACTTGGAGTGTTGAATAGATGAACGAACGGACACACAAACAGATGCATGGATGGACGCATGAACGGACGCAGGGGCGGATGCATGAAAGAACGCAGGGACGGGCGCACAAACAGACGCATGGACGGTCACACAGACGGACGCATGGACGGACGAATGCTTCGCCCCACTCTCCATCATTCACTCCGTGGATATGCTGCCATTTTTTTCAGAACCTGAACTTGGGGGGGTCGACCTATATTCCCACTCGACCTATTGTCCGGATTATACATTACTCAGCTGTTCACTTTAGAAGAAGAAGAATGCTTTATTGTTCAATGAAATTGCTTACAAACATTTGTGCAAAAACATCCGGATCCGTAGCCTACATGGCTAGTTAACGATCCGTTATAGACAAGGCATTTTGTTTAACTAGCAAGTAAAATCTTTACACTTTGTTGATGGCTTGATTGATTTGAGGGGTTTAACGTCCCAAACCACGATATGATTATGAGAAACGCCGTAGGGGAGGGCTCCGGAAATTTCGACCACCTGGGGTTCTTTAACGTGCACCCAAATCTGAGCACACGGACCTACAGCATTTCCGCTTCCATCGGAAATGATGGCTCTGCTGCTAATGATGATTAAATATGTCTGAACACTTTGTAATGAGTGGACCTTTTGAAACACCTATTCATTGATCGATTCACATGTTTTGATGCCTGGGTTTGTATGGTTGTCAGGCAAATATCCCGTAAATCGAAAATTCTGTGTATGATCTCGCCGTATTGATCAAGAAGTACTTCAATCCACTCCACGCTTTTCGAACCTACCCTATTTTATTATACAGTATAATCTCAGTGATGTGGAACCGCGGCAGATACGAATTCTTGAACCCCTATGTTCATTTGGCTTCAATTTGAATGTTCCAAACATGTTTTCTAAACGCGGCAGGTGATACGAACTTTAGTACGGAAACCGTCGAACGAAGGCCGAGAGCAGCGTACTCGAAGCTTCGGAAATATGCGTACAACTGGCATACGCACTGTCTTCTGCAGTGTGTGCGATTGTCGTTGCCACAACCGCTGTGGACGAAACCGCAGTCGCTCTTGACGCGATCATGTATGGCGACGACGTAATTGACAGAACCCCGAAGGTCTACAATCAACCAGTCAAAGCAACACTGCTTTCCGCAAACTCTGCTGACAAAGCTGCGGCAGATGCTATCAAAGATGGCATAAAACGACTTAGTTTTGAAGGCACGTGCGCAGCCAAGCGCACGGTGATTGTAAAAGGAACTACTGTTTGCCCCAACCGCCGCGCACAAAACCGCGGTGGCGGCGACGTGACAGCGATCTACAAGCTCAGAGGGCAGGCAGAGGTAGGTTGAAGGCAGTAAATACGTAAAAAAAAGCAAGTCACAGTTTCGCCGCAAAGGCGAAGCAATGAATGAGGCAGGAGCTACTTGGATTGTAATGCTGAAAACGGCCAAAAGATCGAAACGTGCGGCGCGCTGCTCACACACAAATGACGCACAAAAACGATACTCACCGGACGAGAGTGAACTATGTGGGAATTGAGGCTAGCTCGCCGCCTTTGCGCGGGCTTTGCTGCCTTTTCTGCCGTTCTCATGTCCCGACATGACTCCCCTCCTCCGCTGTCTGCCGCGCTGGGAGAGCAAGGAGTGTTGTTTAACCCCTTTCACCCGATAGCGGATGTCGACTGTGGCGCCGCGCACGGACTCCCGAGAGGTTTTGCGCGCGTGCATCGGGAGCGAGTCAGAGATTCTCCGGGACAGCTTTCGGTGAGCCACGCATTCCCTTTTCCGTCCGTCGACTCCCCTTGCTCCGGGCTCGTCGGACTTCACTGACGGCGCCTCGCGCCCTAGTCGAACGCTCACCTTTTTTTTTCCCCTTTGCGTACGCTCGGCCGAAGGGCGATACGGTGTCCTAATGCCTGGCCAAGCTACGCCGACCCGTCTCCCTCCGAAGCCGATGCGAGCGCCTTTATTCATGCTCGAGCAACCGGGTCTTGGTCCCGGTGTTTCCGTGAATCACCTTTACAAGGGAGACGTGCTCGTGGCACCCTGTGTAGTATTTTTAGCCCGTGGCGTGGATAAGCCTGTTTGCTTTCGCGCCGCGCCTTTGCAACGGCTTTACTGTGTTTTGGTGTTACCACAGACAATAAAGTGTTGTGACCTTGAGCACTATCGTGTTCTCGCCTCTGCGACGGTTAACGCGTGCCCTGCGACTCGTTGAGACTGGAGCCGCGCTAGTGGCCGTACTCCTTCGGGCTACGTGTCACTACAACTATAACAATGTTTATCGCTCGACACGTAACGCGTTGTTTAAACAAAAACGATGCACGATACGTAATCACAGGTACAGATGAGTACAAACTAACAAGTGTCTCAGTTGTTATACTTATACCAGCACTTGCCTGTGTCTCTTCTTTACTGTCCCCGTCTTGAGTTCGCGCTGTACGTACTTCATTATGCAAAACCAACTAGCCCAAAGTTTCACTCTACTGTTATACCTCGCTGTGTATGAAAAGTGCACTCTTTTCGCAAAAGGGGCCTGTGCACAGACTGAAGTGACCTTTGTGGACCCGGCAACTAACGCAATCGTTCCAGTGAAAGCTGAAGGCACACGATTCTCCCCATCAAAAGATAAGCGCGTGTGCACAAGCATTAACACACACACCCCCTTCATCCGTGGGGCAAAGTACCGGGAGAGATAAGCGCGCGTTGTCGCATCGCGACGAGCTGGGCGCTGAGCGCAGGCGTTTTTTTTTTTTTTTTTCTTGATTGTTCATATATACAGATACGTATACATACACGGTGAAGGACGGCGGTGATGGCCACGGCAAAAAAACAGCCTAGACTGTCCATATAATTGCTACCGCAATAAAAAGGATCCAGTCGCGTTTTGGCATTCCTGTCAAAAGAATCTAGTAGTGAGCAAAGCATTGATCCGCGCTTTTGTGGCACCCAGCTGGGCCGTCCTGCCTGTTCACGTGTGTCCCAGGAAGACACATGCGAGTTGTTTTGACCGAAATAGATTCTGCTAGTTGTGTTGATCCTTTGAGACTCTCACCTTAGTGAAAAACTCTAGCTTCGTGTGTTCGACCACACCTAGCCACACCTAGCCACACCTAGCCACTATCCATCGTGAACTTACAGCGCAACACCAGAAAAAATACAGGACAGGGAAGGAGCAAACCGTCTTACCGTCCTAGCCACTATGTTGGCACTTGCGATTGAGATCCCCCTTCCACAGCCTTTCGTTTTTCGCATCGTTTTTTTTGTTTGTCCCTAGTTTTTTTTTACTCGATCATCATACAAAGACGTAACATGGAAAGTGTTGTGGTATTGTATGTATACACCATATACATGACGTTTTATTATTTATATATTGATGTAGTGTGTAGACAATTTACACATTGATGTAATTATTTCCACATGATGTTACAGACCACAAGGGTTCCTTTGGTTGTTGTTATTTACATGACCTGAACCTCAGTGGAATGTTTGTTTTGGGTGCAACAGCCTTGTGGTCTGTGAAGTACAAAGCCAAGGGATCTTGAATTATTGGATGTAGTGGAAAGCTCAAGACTGCAATGTCTATGCAAGTTCCCCTGAAGGTAGTGGAACGCTCGTATTCACACGAACTGCTCCAGAGATCGTAATGCGACGTTGTCGGTCTGATCAGTTGTTGCACGCTGTATACAGGTGCGGCCCACGAGCGGTCTGCTATCAAACTATAGCGCACACAGGATGAGGGTGAACTAACAATGTTTACCGCTCGACACGTAACGCGCTGTTTAAACAAAAACGATGCACGGTACAAATTAGTACAAACTAACAAGTGTCTCAGTTATAACTCGCTGTGTATGAAAAGCGCGCTCTTTTCGCAAATGGGGCCTGTGCAGAGACTGAAGTGACCTTTGTGGGCCCGGCAACTAACGCAATCATTCCAGTGAAAGCTGAAGGCGCATGATTCTCCCCACCAAAGGATTAGTGTGTGTGCACAAGCATCTACCCCCCCCCCCCCCCAATCTGCGAGGCAAAGTACGCATGAGAGATAAGTGCGCATTGGCGCATCGCGACGAGCTGGGCACTGAGTGCGGGCGACTTTTTTTTCTTTTTGAGTGTTGATATATATAGATACGTATACACAAAAGGTGAATGGTGGCGGTGATGGCGAAAAACCAGCCTAGACTGTCCATATTATTGCTTTTGTAATAAAAAGGGGCCAGGCGTGTTTTTGGCGTTCCTGTGAAAAGAATCTAGTAGCGAGCAAAGCTTGCAAAGCTTTGACCCACGCTTTCGCAGTAGCCAGCTGCGCCGTCCCGTCTGTTCACGTGTGTCCCAGGAAGACATACGCGAGTTGCTTTGACGGAAATAGATACTGCTAGTTGTGTTGATCCTTTGAGACGCTCACCTTAGTTGGAAACCCTACCCTCCTGTGTTCGGCCACTCCAAGCCACTATAAAACCGCAGCGGCGTTGATGTTGGCGTTAGCGGTTGAGACCTCCCCCCCCACTCTTGTTTTCTCGATGTTTTTTTGTTTGTGTTTGTCCTTGGGTTTTTTTTTTGGTGCCGAAAAAAGTAGGGGCGAATAATTCAGCGCACCCCCCCCCCCCTCGTTGCGGAAATCTCTCTGATTTAGAATTCTTGAACTTGGCAGGTAAGGTAGTGAAGTCGTTGTGATTTACAATGGCATTTGCGTGCCTAGATCTTAATAGTTAGGAGACATGTATGTATAGGGAACGCTGGTGAAGCCAACATTTTTACAAATGTCTTCATCAACACACTGCCTCCCTTAGCAGTGTGTTTGTCTACATTTCGCTCCCTCTCCTTCCAACCACAATTGTAGAGGAAGATAAGGCAAATAATGGATGGAATGTTCAGGTTGGCCAAATGGGAAGACTTCAACACAAAAAGAATAAAAGAGTGGAAATGAGGCATAGGGGTGGGTACTGGGGTAGTGTAGGGGTCTTGTTGGCCTCTGCAGGTAGGGGAAGCATTGCACTAAGTCGCAAATGAGCTGTGGTTTAGGAAAATCGTGCTATTGTATTTAGCCCCCCTCCCAAAACAAAAAAGACTTCGCGTGTGAGTGACAACTCGACACCAGAGTTCATTAACGGTCAAAATGCTTTAAAAAAAATCTTAGAGGGGCACTGCAACACTTTTCCAAGTAACTCTTGAATGAATACATTAAAGGGCCTTGTCAATTGACTGCCGCAAAAATTTTGATAATCCATCAAGCATGAGTGGAGCTACGGAGATTTGTAGAATGCTGTAATTGCGTTTTCTCTCATCCTGACGAGCGTGCTGGAAGCTAAGCAATGACTTCTTTGTTCATTCAACGTGCATAAAGATTACCTTCAGTGTGATTGCGAATGCATTTGGAAGCATGTGGCAGCCTCTTGTGGTGGCCTCAAAAAAATTTCAGCTAATGTTGCCACTTGAAATAAATTTTTTTCTATATTATATGTGGGTTGTTTCTAAATGGGATTCAGCATCATAATTCGGAAAGCCTATCGATACCGATCTACACAATGAAAACTAGACACTAATACAGGCGTATGGAGTATTGTTGTCGCGGTTATTTTTCAACACAAGGTGATTGAATGGGGTGTCTCATGAGAGGGGAGGGAGGGGGGAAGCAGTTTAAAATCAGTCACGCTTGAGCAGTTTACCCGCACAAAGTGATATTATTCACGATAGGTGATAAAATAATAGCTCATGAGGCCAAAATATATATTAAGAACCTGAACTCAATGTAATGTGTGGTTTTGGGTGCAACAGCCTTGTGTCTGTGAAGTACAAAGCCGAAGGGATCGTGAATTATTGTGAGTGAAAGCTCAAGACTGCAATGTCTATGCAAGTGTTCCCCTGGAAGGTAGGTGAACGCTTCGTAATTCACACGACTGCTCCAGAGATCGTAATGCGGCGTTGTCGGTCTAATCAGTTGTTGCACGCTGTATACAGGTGCGGCCCACGGGCGGTCTGCTATCAAACTATAGCGCGCGCTGAAAGTGGACCGCCAGATGAGTGGTAGCACGCCATCTAGTGAGCGCTCTTGCTATCAACAGGGGGCACAGCTGCGCCTCTAGCGAGAGCAAAGGGAACTAGCGGCTGCGGCGATGGACAAGCCCTGAGCACAAGTAGCAAGCTTCTAAAAAAAAAAATTTGAATAGTCTTGGTCCAATTCATGAGAACAATTCCTGTTTTCTTCTTCTTGACTTCTCTGCGACGTTAGAAGTTTGTCGAACGCTCTGTCGCGCAGGTCATACTACCGGCCAGTGGCGTGGCTCCTTCGGCTCCTGTCAGTTCGCCTGTGTGCTGTTGTCTCCCGTGCGGATGTACCGGGCGGCACAGATCATTGCGGTGGCCCACTCGGCTCTGGCGTTACAGCAGCTGCTCTCTCCACAACAACTCGGTCACAAAGCCGACTGAACAAACATGCTTTGGAAACACCTTCCAGACAGGTCACAACACAAGGACAAATAAATGTTTTTTTTCTTGCGGCATTTGCTGGTATAATAATTCTACTCTGCAAGCATTGTACCTTATTTTAACAGAGCTGCATCTTACACGAAGTTGAGTTCGCTATATGTGGAAATTCGTTCTAAAGGTATATTCCTAACACCATATTACAAGACTGCTTTTCAATTACTTCGTAGTAACCAATATTTTGTTATATCTGGGTTCGTGAGATTAAGGTGCAAGTACCATAACACATTGATATAACGAATGAAAATGTGATAAATTATCAGATTGAGTGATATCGTAAGGAAAAAAGAGGAAAAGCACTGTTGTGCCTTGCAGCAGTGTGCGTAATCAACATTCAGTTGCTACTTGATTTTTGATTGTGCTGACTTCAGCACTAGCTGGTTTTTAAATGTGCCTTGGCAAGACATGAATGTGTTGTGTCATCTTATGAAAAATTATTATACAACACTAAATTGAAGTAAAACAAGATTTGTTGCATTGATATTACAGCTGAGGAAATAAAAATCTGCCTGAACAGACACTACACTCTAACATTGGTAGAAAAGTGCAGAAAGTAGTTAATAGATGTGTGAAATTATTTTTAGAGTGCCGACGGAGGATATCATCATACCCACTATGAGTATGATGAGCGCTCGCTTCAGGTCATTTCTACCTGCCTTATGGCTGTGCATAGCAAGCCGTGTTATTGCATAAAGCTGTCCTTCTTAAATGGGCCGTGCAACACATTTAGAGTGTGGTCAGAAAACACTGCCAATGAGTAGTTAAAGGCTCCCGTTAACTAATCAGCCAAACATTGTAGAGCAACACGTGGCCTAGAATTCACAACTTTTCTCAAAGTCAGCTGGAAGTCACTCTCTCTTCTATCTACAAATGATGCCGTATAGCGAAATTTCTGCGCCATATAGTGCCCACGCACACAGCTATTGGCTTATTTGTTGCGTATTTGGAGTGGCCGTCATAGGAATGTCGTCACATACACGTGCTTGCAACCAAGCTGAAAGGAAGCAGTGCATTTGAAGAACAACTAGTAAGGTCCTCAAGTTGTGACGCGCACTGCCAAAGGAGGGTCCCTTCGTCAGCGCACGTACTTTCTTACTTTTCTGACGAACCCCTCCCCTTCGTAGCTTACGACATTGTCGCGCTTAAGCTGGAGACCGGTTCACTCATCTGAGAAATCGCAGAAGCCGATGGTATCGAGCTAGAACTCGCTTTTCATTGTTACAAAACTCACGCACACAAAGAAAACACACGCTCAAAGGAACAGATAAAGTAAAGTCAATGTCTCAAGCTCAACATCTGCCACCATTTGTGCTTTTGTTAGTTGTCGTGCTTACGTTTTTCGGCGCGCCTTCCGGTCAGCTGGTAGGCCTTCTCTGACGAGATGACGACACGCCGGGTCTGTGCCGAGCAGTGGCGTGCAGTCTGAGCTGCCGCTGCAGCGGTAGTTTGGGCGCTGCTCGCCGAGACTGATGCTCGGCCGGGATACACTGCTGCCCACGGTCAGCGGTAGTTCCGTGAGCTCCTTGCTGAGGCCAACGCTCGAGCAGGAGACTGGAGCCAGACACGGTCAGAACTTCCGTAGCTGTCGGTCTTATGAACGCTGGGTCCTGGCTCCTGTGTTCCGCCTTGTAATGCTTGCCCTTTTCTCGGCTTCCTTCTTCTCGTTTCTTGCCGCCTCTACATTCTCCTTCTGTGAACACGTCTTCCTGCCTCCTCACCTGTGTATTCACTTTGTCACTCCTCACAAGCACTTGAAGCATTCAACAAATGCCTGTAACTTCGCTCAAAGGCAACGGATCCTAAAGATTTTTGCAGCATGTGATTACTGAAGCGTCGGGAGCTTATAAGTGAGAATATTTCAATATAACTTAAAATATTCGCTGCGTATTTGCACGCTTCGCTGCAAAGTCGTCTAGAAATGATTGATAGTCTTCTGTCGGCCGTCTTTTTCGTGCATAGTGTCGCATGTTCAGAGAAGCATAAAAAAACTAGTGTCTTTAGAATTACATATCTGTGTATTTCATAGTAATGTAACACACCACCTAATGTTACGTATTGATGTTGCACCTCATATACGCGTAATATATGCTTTTCGATCGCCAATGTTCACAAGTATGAACACAGCCACCAGTTCGAGATGGCTGGGTGTTCAGCAAGTGCTCAAACTTTCGCCTGGTGACTGAATCGTGTGACAGACAAACAGACCAAAACATGTGCAATAAAGTGATCTCGAGGAAGACAGTTGTCTCTAAAAATTGTTGCACCGGCCATATTAATAAGTCTTTGTGTGACTAAGCAATGTATGTGCATGAGAATTTCTCCACCATTACAACGTAGAAGATTGAGTTTAGCAGGTGTTGCACTCTTGTAACACAAGAGGGTGAAAACCTCGTTACTCTTATTCAAGATGAGTTGCAACTAGCAATCTGCTTGTTTGGCGTTAAATTGGATTCTTTGAAAGCCTTATGGGAGCCGAAGTACAGTAGGAACTCTTTTTTTCAGTTGCGCATGTACTTATTTACTTATGAGAGGTGTATAAATATTTGAAAAATTAGAATAATTAATGAAATAAAGCTTCATTTGATTCAGTACCCCAAATGATGCAGTGTATATTAAAGACGCAAATTTTTTTCTAACAACAAGCACCCATGTAAAAAAAACCTCAAAGGAACGAAACGAGAAAAGTAATGTTGCTTCTTCTAATAAACAAATTATCAAGACGCATGTAGCCCAAGGCTTTACAGGACTTCAGACTATATATTGATGAAAGAATGAAGGAATTATGCTGGAAACACCAGTGTTCTCTAAGCGGTAGCCATGAGTTCACCAACCTCATCATTACATTCATGAGGGTGATGTTACGAGTATTGTTTAATGGTTTATATGTCACCTTTATTTGAAAGCTGTAGACACTGTGCCACCACAATTAGTGTAGTTACTGCTGTTTTGCAACCAGCAGTTACAAAGTATTTGTTATGCTCTAGTTGCTGCTTTATACAGTTGCCTCCATTTACATAACTTGTGTATATATTTATTTTTTGTCTTTATTTCTTTATTCTTTATTCAATGATTACCCCAGGCTGCGCTGTATAAAATTTAGTGACTTGGCGGCCTTCGCAACAACTGAATCAACGTGTGATGGATCGGTTAAAAGTGATGGATTGAGATGTTCTCCTAATTGTAAATATTTGTTTTAACTAAAATATGTAATTGTTGGGCTGTTTCTAAAATTTACAATACAATTTCAAAGGTCACTTCGAAAATGGTTGCCTTACTATTCAGAAACTGTACGAATACTGTTCGATCGTTTCTGTTATAAAGCACCATCTCTGTTTGATTGGTGTTTGGTTTAGTTTTATAAAATTCACTCTTCCAACACCCCTGATACTTACGCTCACCACTGGCTTCTTGTTGCTCCGTTCCTGATTTCTGAAGTTAAGAACGTGCTTTTTTTTTCTTCAGCATTGCGTTCATACAGGTGTGAAGCGCAAGAAGCGGCACGCACTTATTCCGCTGCGGCACGCTTGCACAGCAGTTTTTGCCGCTGTGGCGAACACGCTTACCGCTCGCCTCCTTGTCGCCTAATGGTGCCGCCCGCGATAGCCAGCGCCGCAGCAACGGTGCCTATAGTTTCACAAGAACGTGCAGTGCATGCGCGCTCATTTTCATGCGCAGCAACTCGCGTTACTCTGGAGAGTAAAAAGAAAAACGGTTATCAACTGTGCTCGCATACATTTCATTCGTTCGCTCACAGCTGTTTCCGCGAGCCTCTGCGAAGGGATTTTTGTCACTGCACGCTTTGGAAAAAAGTCACTGGCTCTTTGGCAGGACTTCAAGAATAGATACATTAAAGTTTTTGCCTTAAGACTGGAAGAGCAACAGCATTGCAGCCAATAACACAGAAGTAACAAGATACCAGTTCATTTCAGTAACAAGTTCATTTCATTGTATGAAATGAACTTAAAACTAACTTGCTACTATTACGATGTAGCAATAACGCACATTAACGAATGTAGTGTGTTATAAAGTGTCATGCGAACATTTAAATGCTGATGCTTATAATGGCAGAGATTGTTTCGATGAATAATAGCAATGACTATGAAAAATTGGTTTGCACCTTATCGAGCATTTCAACGATGTTACGTGACATGGGAGGAGTTCATGAGTTGGTCATACATTGCATGAGGCGTGACACTGTGTACACGAACTCCATATGGGTGTGGAAAAGGGTCGGGAATTGCTAAAGAGTCATTGTTATGTTAGTTTTTATAATTTGCTGACCACTGTCGCCTATGCATGGGGCTTGTGGCCTTGTCAAGTTGGCATGACGAATGATTTTTTCTTTCAAGCGGAGTTGTTCCGCCATTTCGGTGAAGACGCATTGATCATTGTACAGTGCAACAGGTCAAGGTCTCCAGCCAACAGGCAGTTCCCGGATGATGTAACAAAAGGTCTTATTTTCAGCGCACCGGCCGTTGAAATTCGATCACCAATATCTCTAATTTCGTGCAACTTTTGTTATTTCAAAACAAGAAAAAAGGAATCGTATGCCACTCGCACTACAACTTTCTGACACATATTCGATTGACCTGTAATCAAAAGTTTATGAACGAGATTTATTAATTACTTTTGTCGGCATTATAATAATTGTATTTAGTATGTCTGAGAATGAAGAGTGTGTGACTGCCATAAACTTTTTATGAAAAAAATTCTGTATGGTTAAAAATAAGCATTGCATAGTGGCTAGAGTTTCTGGGTGGTGGTATTATCTGCACAGTAAGCTTAAAGCTAGAGTTACCGCGAACGTACACTCACTGCCGCTTAACAGATGCAACATCTTTTCAAGACCCTGTGCCTTAAAAAAAAACATGCAAAAACTAATTTTTACTAGTTTATCTTTCTTCCTATAGACGGGTGCCACTATCAGCAGAACTCTGTGATTGTTGCCAGTAGCATGATTAGATTTTCATACTTGGAGCCAACTTGGAGCCAACTAAGAAAAACTAGCCACCCTGTTTACGAGG